GGGAGAGTTATCAAATGAATCAGATTTTTGGAGTTGAAGGTTACTAGGCAGTTAGCATCATAAACAAGCGTATGAGCTGTTTTTCCTTATGTATAACACACCTGCCTCTGCGTGCAAATTCTATACCCTTGATGGCTGTATTGGCACTTGTTCCTGTTTGTATTCTAAAGGAGGTCACCACCTGCAGGTTTAACAATGTTGTAAAATCTACCTTGACCATTACATTAGAAAAAAATGTATGAATTCCTTACAAAAACCACTTTCGTGTGCAGTAATGAGAGGATGAAATGAAAAATCTAATGATAATGACAATAACTTTTAAGGATGAAATTCTCCTCTGATTCAATTAAAGCTCCAAGATTTAAACACTTCTGATTTGACATTGGAATACATTTTCTAATAACACTGATTTTTACCTGAAGAGTCTCTGCTTCAATTACCAGTACCTGCAAGAAAGATAAAAAATATTCTTCAGTATAAAGTTGTAAACAGTTTCCACTTATGTTGAATACCCCTACTGTTCTAACAAAGCTAGCTTACTACAAATTTTCAAAAAGTGTTATGTTGGGGTTAAAGTAGTTCCACAATCCTCCATGTCTATGGAGGTTTCACAGTCAAAGGAAATTGCAACTGCTGTTTCTCCTTCCAGTTTAGTTCTTTAACATATTTCAGTTCTCCTTTAACATAATTTATTCAATTATTCTCTACACCAGCCTTTGCTTCATCCTCTCTTACCTTTCCCAGTCCCCATGTATCTACAATATCATGTGCTTGTGATTAAAAAAGACATGGTTATAATGAAAGCACTCGTACTGACCTTCCCCTTTGAATTTCCTGTGTAAATGTATTCTCCTTTTCTATCAAAAGATGCCACAATGTTCTGTTCGGACTAAGGAAAGACACATCAGGTATTTTAGATGAGATATCCAGTCAAAACAATCATGGTTATTTTTTTACAGCCAAGTTTTTGAAAGTTTACTAACAAGACACAGAACTCTTTGGTCAGACTCTTAGCAGCGGCACAGTAATAAAACATGAGTGTCAGTGATGAGGGGAGAAAAAAATGGAGCTGACCATTGCATATTCCATCATCATATGTTGCCACTCATGTTGTTCTCAGTCTCTTTATGACCATTAAATCCTCTTTTTATTTTGGAAAAGTTCTCTCCCACTCTTTATTGCATTTCTCATCTCTTTTGATGTCATTCCTCTTGCCCTTAAATGCACTATGGCTGAAGCAGCTCTTAGGTATCTTGAAAGGGTGTTCAAGGAATTGATGTGACAACATGGAAGGATCTGAGGAGGGATGCTTTGCCAGAACTAATTAAAACATTAGTCCTCCAAAAAACTTCTCCCAGCATTTGAGACCTTGTACAGGTGTTTTATTTTCTCATTTTAATGTATAATTGTAACTTTTCTTCCATTAAAAAAAACTCTAACTAAAACCTTTAGCATCACCATTAGGCCACTAAGCTTAAAAATACTTAGGGAGGGCATGTCTAACACTTTTCAAATGTCTTAATGATTTGACAAAGGACGTTATCTTGGAAATCAAATGACTTTGAACTTGAACTTCAAAGGAATGATATTTGATAAAGTAGTAGTTTTAAAAACATTATTTTCAGAAAATTAACCTGAATTAAACTCTCCAGCATCCTTTTAATAGTAATGTCAGTGATATATTTGCACACACCATCAAATTAAAAAAAAGGATTAAGACGTTGTTACATAGATGGATAAGCAAGACTTCAAGAAGTCAATTCTCTGGCTACTAGGCATCATTCTCTACCTAAATTTTGATGACCTTAATGGATAACCTCACATTACCAAACCACATTCTCCAGACCTGTTCTGATATTTATTTAAGGAAATGCTACTCAAAAGTCTCACAAGTTATGATGCTATGGCTATTTAGCCTGTGCAGACTCTCTGTTGGTGGAAACCAGCAAAATTGGTGAGGGTCTGAAAGGAGAAATAGAGAAGGGCGAAGTGGTCTGCTTCCTTCTCCCTCTTTATTTCTCTCTCATTTTTTCCATTTTGCTCATCCAGTTTTTTGCTTGTTCCCAAAAAATGACAGCCTAAAACAGTTTAATAGCCATTGAATGCATCAAATGAATGTTCAGCCTTTTGTGGTATTAATGCAAATTTCAATTTTGACGTTGCAAAATCCCCTCTTGCCTGATAATATTAAGCAATGAGACATGATTCTTGTGCAGCTCTTTCTCGTAATAAGTGATCTGAGGAGGAAACCACTGCTGTAAATCCTCAAACCATTTGCTAAATTTAATGCACTGTTCTTCATTTCTGCTGCATTTTATTGCAATGTACAAAATAATGCTGACTGGACTAAAAAGCAGATCTCTTTCAGCAAGAATGGCAGTGAAGTTGGAATCAATGCTGGAGAAGTCTTCAGCTTCTTTTCTTGTTATGACCACAGCACATGACCAATGGCACAGATTGTGAAGATTGCTGAGATCAGAATTCAACTTGTCACTTTCTTTGCTGCACAAATCAAATGCTGTTTCTTTGTCTCCATTGGTATAATAAAACAGACACTTCACAGCATTGCTAAAAATTCCACCATCTTCAAACCCAGATGGGTGTTTCAATATTCCTGCTTTTGAAATCCAACCCTCAGCTTGGGTTGACAATCCCTTCCGCTCTTCAGCACTCAAGCCACATTTTGACAATGCCATTACATGATAGCTGTTACCAAGGGAAACAAACAGCAGCTTTTCATAAGCATTTTTGAACGTTGGGTCTGATATAACCCTTGGCAAATCATCTAAAATTCCTTGTGCAACTTGATCGACCTCACCGCTTTCTAATCTGTGGAAGAAAAAGTGTTTGAACTCTTGCAAGGTTTCAGTAAGATGCATTGATTCATAGTAGTTCTCGTTGTTTTGGAAATGATTTTGGCTAAGGTGTGAATTAACTTGTGCTAACTGAGCTTCAGCATTGCTGGTAGAATCAGAATTCTTTAAGATCAGGTACAGAGTAACAAAGTCACCACTTGACTTGAATGTGTCTGCAGCCAGTTGTGATTGTAAGATGGAAAGAGGAAGATCACTCATCATGGATTGAAGAATGGATATTGCATCCTTTCGTTGCTCCAAATCCAAGTGATCCATCATATTATTTGATGCTACAAAGTAATTTGGGCATGTCCCACTAGTTGTGTAGGACAGCAGTTCTTTAAGTACACTTAAAATGCACTCCAGAATTCTCCTGTCATCCCAGAAACTCTCTGGAATTCTTTCAGACAGCCAAAAAATAGCTGTCTTGATGAAATACGAGCAAATCACTTTTGGTTCTGCACTTAAATTTTCTTTACAAAGAGCTTTAACTGCGATGTAACATTTGATCTTCGCATCACACCAACATCGGGTTAGTATTTTTTCTGCTAGAGAGAAGGACAATCGCCATTCTTTGCCCCGATCTCCACTGCACGGGTGACCGACACCGACGTATAAGCACCCTTGAGAAACAATTTTCTCTATAATTTCTCGACTAGGTTGGTTAAATTCTCTCGGGCGAGAGGCAAACTCAGAGGCGATGTCAGGCCATTCATAACAAGGTAACGCACACACAAAGTCTCGATTGTGGACATCGTCTGTGAGCGCAGGACCATGCTCTGTAAGGTCACCGAAAAAATCATCATCATTTTCGGTCTCTTCTGATTCCGGTTCCACCATGAACGCCTTAACGACATCATTTCTGAGAAATCCGTCATTTTCAGTCAATTCAAGATCATCATTTCCGCATTCGGTGTTGTGTACACGCGCACGTAAATGCACATAGCCTGGGTGGAGATCAGTGGCGATGAAATATTTCTCTTTCTCTGCGATACTTGTAGACTGATAAACGACTCGAAAGTTGTGGTTCACAAACATGAAATCATCGTCGGCTGCTCGCTCTATTCCTTCCGCTCTGCTGCTGGTGTAATGAAACGTAACTGGGGTTTGCGAGTCGTCCATGGGCTTCAAGTTGTGCAAGTATTCGCTTAAATCACAACCATATCTAACTGATTGACAGCCGACCATAAATCCCGATAGCATAAAATTCACTGTATTATTCAAAGCAGGAGACGTCAATGGCAAACAGTTGGCCGATTCTTCAAGAGAAGTCGAAGCTTCACAGCTTTCCTCATGTGCTTCTGCCATCTTGATTTGCGATTGGGAATGTCACGTTACTCCTTCCCCTCTCTTGGGAGGGAGGGAGGAGGGAGGAAGCAGCGTTGCGTGACATCCCAGCAAAGCACAGTGTTGTACTAACTTACTTGCTCAAGATTTCCTTCTTATTCCCGCAAAAAATTTAAAACACGAAAATAAACTACAATTCAAATTTTGATTAATGATCTTGGAATTTCGTTTGAGTAGTCCTGTCTAATTTCTAGCTTGAGGGCAATGCTCAGGCTTACTGACTTTCAGCGTGATGCTTAGGCTCATCCTTGGTGTAAAAACCTGTGAAGCTCACGAGTGACGTAAAACAAAGACAACAAAACATTATAAACAATAGCGTTTTTTGGTTGTGGGCTATCCAGGAGAAGTGTCATTTTTCAAAGTGTGCTGCTCACTGCTCTCAAATGGTTACTGAGTGTAAAGAAAATAATTTAATTAAAAAGGCAAAATTGCATTATTCACAGGCAGACCAAGCTCCAGCTGTGAAATTGTCATCTAGCAACATAAGCATCAGGTCATCCTCAGTGTAAAAACCTGACAAGGTTTTCTTTGTTTCATGAGGTATTGTTTTGCTGTACGCCAGTTGTGTTGTCTTTGTTTTATGTCACTTGTGAGCTTCACAGGTTTTTGCAAGCTCTTTATCCCATTGGAAAGTCACTTGCCTGATGCAAATTATTATACACCCCACTGTCAAGCCAAGTAACACCTGAAAAAGTTCCCTCTGATCCAGCAAATGCTGTTACAAATCAATCATTCTCAGTTATTTTCCCTAATTCATTTAGATATTTATTTATTCATTCCTTTTAACTCATAACACCTTTGTGTACCATCTGAAATCAATCAATTGCCCTTACAGGCCTTTTAAAAACAAGTGGAAGTTGTTACAAGTAAATTTGTAGAAGCTAGAGGGAGAACTGACAATCAGATCTTTAGAATTACAGGTTAAATAAAAAAGGATGCGTGTATAGGGGAATGTCCTGTTTTCAAATGAGGAGGTTGTCAGGGGTGTGGTATTCCCTGGATGGTATGTTAGCTAAGTGGATTATTGTTTCTGTAATTAGCAAAGCAGAATTCAACTGATCCCACAGTTGATCACTCAAGAAAACCCTATCAAGAAACTATTAGACAAGAAAAAGACGCAAATAACTAACACAGGTGAGGAATAACCTTGATTTGCTCCCTGTTCCCTTTCATTTACATCTGCTATGTTCCCTTTAGTCATCACCTTAAATCAGTGCCTGTTTGCAGCTACACTGTAGTTTGTGCATGGTACATATAATTTAAAGAATTTTATTAAATATTTTTTTCGATTTGGAGCATTCTATCGAAGAGAAAAAGTGTTTATTTACTAGTTCATTTTTTTCCTAATCTTGCATGTAGTTGAGAAATATTCTGTATCAAATACCTACCTTGTAAATTACAAAAAATACAGAGAAAGTTTCTTTAGAGCAAGTATTAAATATAACGTTTATGACTATTGAATTACCTCTCCACCATTTGGCAGAGAAAAGTGTTGTCCATCCAGCTTGACAAGTACTGGTGCATGTTTCATGGGACACACAAGTATGATGTTACTGAAACAAGAGCAAAATCAGTCTTGATAAATTGTTCTCGAAGGACTCATTTTTCCTCACTATTTTTCCTCACTTGCTTGGATGGGTTCAATAATCTTTTCCCCGTGGGTTATAGCTCTCAAGAAACTCTAAAAGAAGGACCCAATCAAAGAAATCTTTGTAAAGAACACTTAATGAGAAATTCTTCAATTTTTTTTTAATTCAAATACTGTTACGAATTTGGGTCACAGCACTGTCAAATTAAACATAAATAAAGAATGCTTAACTTTTTATACCCTAACATTAGTATGCATCTTCTCCATACTGTTCTCTATATATTTCCTAAGGTGCTGACAAGGAGAATTTGATTAACAATCAAGAGCTTCCTCAGTTGGTGATCATTTCCTTTATTCTCGTGACTCAGGGGTGATACTGTAAGGAGAAATTAGATGCTAGTCTCTCTTAGGGATCAAAGCCTTTAGGTTATAAAATTTGAGCAATTTTAATTCATTTTCCCTCTAGGATTCAGGGGATCTCAGGTTTGCCTTATGCATACATAATATAGCAGGCATCTGTAGGAGCTTTGTGAGGTGTGCAATGATACGGTAATAACATGCAAGCACATAATTAGGGTACAAACTTGTTGCGAGGATGGAACTGGACTTTAGTGACAGGAGATTGAAAACGGTACTTCTGGTCACACTCCCCAGATAGAACATCCCACACAGAAACATTCCAGTCATTTGAACCACTCAGCAGTTTGCGTCCATTTCGACTCCAGCTGAAAGATACAAATAATAACAACATGCCATATAACAGGTGGGGCTGGTTAGTTAAACATAGTTTGGCTATCATTTAATAAAACCATTTATTATACGGCTGTGTCTCACAAGGACTGGGAACTACCGAATTCACGAATCTGATTGGCTGAAATCAATATTGAAAGAGGTCTAGATTATCCCATCTAAACCGGCATCTAGACCAGTCTAGAAAAAAAAGGAACAAAGAATATAAAAAATTGGCATATAAGGCACAGCCATATAATAAACATCTTATTAACCGAGCTATATAGGTCGGTCTGTAAGGGAGAATCTTGACCTCGATCGGTCGCTGGTATAGACCTCACTGCGTTCGGTCTGTACTGGCAACCTCGGTCAAGATTCTCCCATACAGACCTCCCACTCGGTTAATAAGAACTAAGTTCTAAGCCATCTTCAGCTTAGGCAAACCCTTTATCTGAGCAGTTGCCTACAGTATCAAGAGGGCCAAAAGCTAATAGTGGAAGGTCATGTATTTAATTAAATCAACTCTCCCATATAAAAATTCCTGAGGCCCACTGTTTGCCTAAAAACCATGGTTAGACCTCCTGTAAATAACTAACCCTTAAAGTACATGCAGCAATTAAGATACTATTTTAATTCTTTAAATTAAGACCACACTCAATCAAAAAATTACAGCTAACAAATGTTTCATTGCAATGCAATTAGACTGCTGATAGGATTTCACTGCATCTTATATTTTTTGCGAGTTAAATCATGAAGACTCATAAAAAATCGTTTAAACCTAGATCTACATTTAAGTGCCACTTTTATCCAAAAAAAAATTGAGCAACGGTTTAACTTGCTTTGTTGCCCTATCAAATATTTGTGCAGTTAAGTCATAACATTATTTTACATCAACTTTGTATTGAAATTTTATATTATTCTGTTTCAACTGTTTGATTGTTTGATGAGGAAAAAGAAAGAACAGAAGTAAATTCTCTGATTGAATTTCCCCATACCTGACAGATGTGACAGGATGGACATGAGCACTTATTATTTTGGCTATTCCTCTCGTCAAAAAATCCCAGATGACAATGCGTCCATCATTACAGCCCACAGCAAGGAGAGAACCTCTTCTGTTGAATGATGCTGTTCCTGCAACACTAACTGAGTCCAAGCTGCCATCATATTCCTGTGATAAAAGTGCACAGGTTAAAAAGGATAAGATAGTCAAACCTCCTTACACCACCTCTCATTTACACCCCTGCATATCAATGATCATTGGTAACTGTTCAAAGCAGCCATCTCTTGTAAATAGATGTAACCATTTTTAATGACTGTCTTTGGCTGAAATTTTCTTGCTTTTTTCACTTTCTTTAAATTTTCTTGCAATATAAATGATTGTACTCAGGGAAATCAAATGATTCTCAATAACAGAATTGATTATATATAATTGTTGAAGTTGGCTTCATGAACATGTCTATTGGTCTCTGATCACAGCACTACTTAGTTAAAGCATTTTAGGTCCTCTAAATCCTCTAATGAGACCCCGGTACTTGGGAGGAGTGGCTTTTTAGAGGGGGGGTTATTAATTTATCCCAATCTTCACTACCAGGATACAATAGGATATTTATTCATAAGCTGTTCTCATTTTACATCTTTTAAATTTTTCAATACCGTACTTGAATAAATTTATTGTACTCACTGACATAGAGTGTTATTTTGAATTTTTGTTTTTGAGGGGTAGGGATAGGGGTAGGGGTAGGGGGGCTTAATAGAGGGAAGGAGGCTCAATAAATTTCTTCCTCTAAAGAAGGGGACTTATTAGAGGGGGGTGGCTTATTACAGGGGGGCTTATTAGAGGGGGTGGCTTACTACAGGGGGGCTTATTAAAGGGGGGGGGGCTTATTAGAGGGTGGCTTATTAGAGGGGGGCTTATTAGAGGGGGCTTATTAGAGGGTGGCTTATTAGAGGGAGGCTTATTAGAGGGGGCTTACTAGAGGGTGACTTTTCAGAGGGTGGCTTATTAGGGACTTATTAGAGGGGGCTTATTAGAGGGGGGCTTATTAGAGAGAGCTTATTGGAGGGGGCTTATTAGAGGGTGACTTTTTAGAGGGTGGCTTATTAGGGGCTTATTAGAGGGGGTTTATTAGAGGGGGCTTATTAGAGGAGGCTTATTAGAGGGGGATGGCTTATTAGAGGGGGGCTTATTAAAGGGGGGCTTATTAGAGGGGGTCTTATTAGATGAGGGCTTATTAGAGGGGGCTTATTAGAGGGGGGCTTTTTAGAGAGGAGAGGGGGCTTATTAGAGAGGGGAGGGGGCTTAATAGAGGATTTTCAGTATCTGGATGCATTTTTGCATATATTATGACCTTGATGGAACCATAGGCCATGACTTAAAATCAAGACTTTCTAAGGTCTACAGGTGTAATCTCTAAAAATTCCAAATGACTAAGAACACAGGCTTTCACAACACAGGCTTAACATTTCAATTAATTGCAGTCATCTAGATGAGAAACAATTTTTCTGAACTCATTCTCACCTCAGGATAGCTTTGCCCAAAAGACTCTGAAATTCAATAAAACCTCTTTCATTTTGTACATCATTTACTAATACCTTGTAACACACTTAATCATGCCAATACCTCTTACTGAGTTTCGGATCTGTACCATAAGTTAGGGACAAAGTTTTTTTCCACTCAGATTTATGGCCCAGGCATGAAGTGAGAAGCCCAAGACAAGGTTCAATGACTTACAGGACAGACTGAGGAAAAGTAAGTAAGATAGATATCTTATCTCTGAGTTCAAATAAAAGGAGAAGATTCCAATTTGAACCAACTTTTGAATTTAGTGGCTGCACACTGAAGTACAGCCTGCTAAATTGAACAATCATAGTCCATGTACTGAGAGAATCAGAATTATTCCCCATGGGGGTAAACTCCACATCATGTGGTAAGATGCCTGTATATTCAACAACACAAATATCACAAACTTTACTGGGCTGTTTTTGCCATCTGTTTGGAGAAGTGAAGAGTTATCACAAAGCTACGTTTGGGAAATGAGTTCTTTCTTGGTCGTGTCTATCATTGATTAATCTCTAGGGGGCTGGATGAACTTTTCACTACCGTCAGAGCTATAAGAAGTTATCAATTAGTTAGCAGTTGACCAAAGCAACATATACCGAGCGCCATATATCACATAATGATAAATAGCGTTAGCACAGGCCTGGAAAACTTGCAAAGCAATATTATGAACAACAAAGACTTGCTAGGGTTTGACAGAAACTGATGTGATACTCACGAAGAAGCTCAAGATTCATAATAGATTTCCGTTCTTATTCCTTTTACCGCATTAATGATCACATGAACACAACGCTATTTACGTGATGCACAAGGATCTGTCTTTTCCTTTTAAAAAGTTTTTTGTATTTGGTACAATTTTGCCGCCTCGCGTGTCGATCAAACCGATCAATTATCTTTTGTAGTCGGCGCCAGCGGTTTTCCACCTTAAAGGTGCGTGCGCACCGTTAGGACGCCGCTCGACGCTCGACGGGGAGACGTGTGAAAAACGCTTTGCTTCGGCTTTTGCTGAGTCTCCGTTTTCGTTTGTATTTCATTAAAATCCCTGATCGAGATGTCACGTCGACGAAAGGTAAGAACGTGAACAATTTATAAACACGACAAACCGTTTAGAGCAGGCGGTTGGTCGTAAAAAACGTCATAGGGAGAAAAAGGTTGACTTCGGCAACAAGCCAAATGGAAATGCACGGATCGATGACTTGACAACCTAGTCTAAAGTCTACAATGGATAGTTCTCGCTAGATATCAAGATCTCTTTAAATAGACGCACTTCAATTAATAGATTCGTTTTCGGGGCCAGAAATTACTGTGAAAAATTCATTGAAGGGTCCGTACGCTGATAATTTGATCGGCATGATTAAAGCAAGCCCGGCCTTAATTAATGAAAACGAAATGTTTTATTTTTTTTTGTGATCAGCTGCCCTGGATTATGAGCTTCTGTAGTATAGTTTTTATTACATGCTGTTGCTTACTTAGATCAAAATCTATGTTCTTCCAAGGATGGTACATATATGACAATATATTTATATATATGTACCACTAGAATACCGGTAAAGGTCATCAATTCATTTATGAGTATTTCATGATAAGCATCCAAATCGATAAATTAAACGAATAATACCATACAAGAATTATGGTTATCCATAGAATTTTCTAATTTGTAGATTGATCAATTTAAAAGATTTACGGAGCCTTTGCAAGGTGGTTCCAGTTCTCAACTAAGGTTTTTCCCAAAATCTTTTGTGGGCAGCAAGATCTGACTTCACGTGGTAACTCCTCTGGTCAAAATGTTACTAATTTTTTTTTCTTAGCTTCTTGTGAATGAATCTAACTTAACCAGTTTTTTATTGTAGATTGGGACAAGGGGGAGTACCCCAGAACTATACTGTCACAAGTTCTAGTTTAATTATCTTGTGATTGACTTGTTGTTGGAAATGAAAAAAGTTTCCAGATATTTTCCATCTTCTAAGTGTCTCAGGAAATGTATACTGTGTTCTTTTAGGAAAATAAATGTACCCTCTATTCCTTCCTGTTGTTCTTAAATTTCCAGTTTTGCTTCATGCTTTATTTATTAAGTGTTTTGGAATCTGGAAATCCTCATTTTTATTTTCAGTATCACCAAGTTATCCTCCTTGGGGCGTGAACATTCATTGTCATTACAGAAAGGGAACATAACCATGCTTCTTTATGTCTGTTAAGTCTAGCTATTGAGAGTGTAAAAGGTCCCAAGACCAGACAGTTTAATGCCAGGAATTGTGTGTGTGTGTGTGTGTGTTTTTTTTTTACCATCAAGCTAAGAGTTGAATTTAGTAGTGAAACATTTAACACAGCATATATTTATTTTTATTCCCTTTTTGGAGCAGAGTGGAGCAAACGAGACGCCATCCAAGGATCAGAAAGCTGATAAGGATGATGATGATAAATTAACAATGAATGATTCCAAGGTGGAATGGAGTGAACAGGAGAAGAGTCGTCTTTTGGATGCTTTAAAAAAGTACGTTAATCTTCTTCCTCTATGTAATGGGGCTTTAAAAAAGTATGTTAATCTTCTTCCTCTATGTAATGGGGCTTTGCCCTTAAACTTTCAAGATCTGATAGTTAATTCTCCCTCAAGCTTGTGCACATTCCTTGTGAACTAATTTTGAGAGTTTGATGTTAGATCAAGGTAACAACTTCTACTTGATAAGTTTGAGTATTCTCATTACCTGTTTGCTGGATGATAAGTGGATATTACAAGGAGAAGTTACATGTTAATCACTTCTGGGAGTAATAAGGGGTTAACATGGGAAGTGGCTTCTTTCAGAAGTGGCTAACCAGTCATTTTAATTTGAAGACATACGGTGCAAGATACTTTTCCCTAGCTGCCCACACTCTTGAACACTTTGCCATCCGATATTATGAACAGCTTCCCAGTGTCCGTTTTTAAAAACAAACTTGAAACTTTCCTTTTTAAACAAAAAAGCATTTTTATAATTTTACTATTGTGTCACTCTTGTTAAGTGCTTTTGAACTTTGAGGATACTAATGCTATATAAATACTTTATTATTATTATTATTATTATTATTATTTATTAAAAGTATTTCATGTAAAATGTGTGTAGCATGCGTGCCTCATTGCTTTTTTTTTTTTTCAGTCCTTTTAGAAAGTGCTGTTACTGTCAGTCACTCAAGTTTTACAAGTGACTTTACTTGTTTTAGTGGACAAATGACCAATTAGCATAACTTCCATCCTTTATCTCCAAGCAGCTGTGCATACCTCTTTATTTAAGTATTCAATCTGTGATTGATTTTTGTTTTTTATTTATTTTAATTTTTCTGACATTCATCAAATGCACAAAATTAATAAAGAATGATAAGCTATGAAAGGGCTTTGTTATTTATTTCTGTTCTGAGAATGCTCTTTATTTAACCAGCAGATGTCAACAGTAATGTTGTTAACAGGTGTCTTGCATTCAATTTGACACAGAGACGAGGGAAGAAATAACTGGCGTTGGATTGCAAGACAAGTTAAAACCAGGACCACAGCACAGGTTAGAATGCACGGCATTTTAAATTTTGTTACTGCTGTCCTAATCATTTTAATACACATCTTTTTCAAGTAATACCTAAAAGAAGTTTATGAATTATTTTTCTGCAGGTGAAAGATTTTGCTTCAAAAATCAGGACAGAAAAGCAAGGTTTGTTAACCTAACAACTAAGGAAGTGATATTGCTGTCAATACTTTTAAAATCATCCATTAACATTTTCTCAAATGTCTGTTTCTTGTGTTTTCTTGCTCAGCTTCTAACAAGAGACCAATTGCTCCAAGAGAAGATGGTGTACTTGAGGTATGGAACTCATTCTGTGGTACAGTTTTGTTCATGTTAAATTGCTTGATGTATAACTTTCTGTGCTGCTGAATTTGAGTGTTATTTTTTTATCATTATTTTTTGTGTCAAGGCATGGATTAATGTGACAAAGAGACTGAGAGGTGATAGCGATGTAGATGGGACTTGCATACCTCAGGTATGAATTCTCCATTTTGTTTGTTAAACATTTATTAATAAGCCTATCTTTCATTTTCCTGCATCAAACTCACTGACGATGGTTTTGTAGGTCTCTTATAATATTGATCTTGAATGATCATCAGATTAGTATATTGTTAGCACTGTAAACTTTGGGGAATCTTTAAAATTATAAAGCTGTATCCATGAGAAATTAGCGAGAGCTTTCCCATGAGCAGAATGTACTATTTTGATTAATCTCGTGCATGGCAATCTTTATAAGATGTTTGAGATTACTTAGTAGTTTTGAATTAAATTTCAACTCACAATGGGTTAATTCTATTTTACCTATTTGTAAACAAATTGAAGGGTTAGGTTCAAATTAAGTATAGTCTTAATGGGTTTTGTCATATTATTGCATAGTTTTTGTTTGTTTTTCTTTATTAAGTACTTCATATCAAAAAATCTCAGTCACATTACCAACAGGATAATTATAGTTTCAAGATTAACAATAATTTTTTTAAGTTACTTTAAATGGAGCAAAAAATCATTACACATTTGCAAAAAAAAAAAAGACCAGTGAGGATAGCTTGTACATTATTACTAACACAACATATTACCACTACTTTTGGAATAATAAATGATAGTAAGTGAGAAAATTCATGGCAAGATGGTGGGAAATGATTGCATTTTTTTGGAATTTTACCTTTTTCACTCTGCTACAATTTCTATGAGCTTAGTACATTTATTTAGTACATGACACATGCTTTTATGTGAATATTTCTGGTATCTTGTAAGACAAATTATTAGTGGGTGATAAGACTGGCTAAAACTGTACGATATAGCTTCTTCAGCTGCTTAAGGGTCAACAGCTGCTATAAATGTAGCTAGTTTAAGTTTAAATGAGAAGCCACTGAGAATGGAAAGGCATCCTCCCAATGCCTCTTACAACAGAATCAAATGGCACCAACAACACAATCTGAAGAATTGTCAGAAAAGGAAGGCAACAAATGCGACAACCACGTTGACCCTGGTTTTGACAAAAGCGATGAAAGCAAGGAGGATTCACATGATCCAGCAAGTGAAAGTACAGATGAAAATCAAACTGGTCCTACATCCAAAGTCAACCACGATGATAACGAACACGTGATGGATAATACTATGGTAAGATTATGAGTATAATAATAAAACCTTATTGTACGAAGCAAAATGATAATCAGCACCAAAGTTTTCAATTTAAGAATTTCATGCTGATTGGGGTTCACTTCACATGGTGAGTGTGATGTAGGTAAGATTGAATAAAAAGAAAACAACCAAATTCTTTAGTTAGTGGTTTATAGCTGCAGCTAAAATAAGCAAAATGAGTGAGTGAGAAGTGATTTTAAAACATTAGGGGCTGTCAGGTAGTTTTTACCTCTTCTGTGTTCTGGTCTTCTTCTAGAATTGTCTCTTTCCTTTTAATTATGTTGTTCCTTGGTCTTTTATTTTATTATTATTATTATTTAATTTTTTTTATCTAGTCAAGTGCGTGCTATTTACATTTTTCGCGTTTTTAACATTCAAATGTAACATAAGCCCTGACACGTAATTTGTAACGTACCTTAATATAAATTCAAATGTACAACCGTTAAAAGCTCATTTAATTTGTAACTGAAGATGACATGAGAATGTCGAAGCATGTCTTAGAAATTTAAACTCAAAGTTGTTGTTTTTTTTTGAGAGTTATTGTCACTCTGCTGTCTTTACATCCTCTTCTGTGTTGGAGAGAGAATACTCTTTCACTTATTCAGTATTCATTCCCTATTCCTGTGTTAGGCTTGTGAGACTGTCATCATGAAAGTGATGTTTTTGAGAACAACAGACACAAAATGCCTTTGTTACATGTTTGCTTTCAAGTTATTTTAGAAACAAGTTAACTTTGTAATCCCAGGTCACTGATAAGAAGGTTTTGAAAAAGGTCGTGGAATTAATTGAATTCTAAAGATTTCAGACCCTGGCTGACTTAAAGTTTTCCCTTGTCATTCTTCAATTTTTGTTTTTTTTTTTTTCTTTTGTTGTGCAGGAGGACATCTTGAGTACTCAGAGACAAATGATAGAGAAAATCGATGTTTTAGACTCCAAACTTGAAAAGCTTCAGTCTAATGACCAAGCTTCACAGTCAACTCTGATGGAAGTGTTGGCTAAGATTAATGAAAGACTTGATCAGCTCAGCAAGAACACATCCCATGCTTGTTGTGGTGGACCTGTCATACTTCAAACAACTCGTCATGCCAATGTTATACATCAACCTATTCTTGATCCTTGTTTTTCTTGTAGAGATGTGATAAGGAACAATAGAACTGAAAGTTTGTCAGTGGCTTCCTCAGAAGATAATATTTTAAGCTTCTCCCATCCTTTAAGTACAACTTCTGAATCAACAAAAACTTCAATTGTATATAGCACAGGGAATGATTCTTCTAAGAGTATTTCTGGGAAGCAGTCTTGCATGGATTTTGTCTCAGACAGGCAGAATGATTCTCACCCCGAGCCACAAATGGTGGCTACCAGCCATTACACGTCCTCTCCCAGAGTTACCTCAAGTGTTTGTAGTGCATCTCCTGTAGATCTTTCAGAATCACCAAAAAACAATCAAGGTACACTTAATGTTCTGACAAAGGTGTCTTGTGTATCAGAAAGGGAGGACAGTACATCGGGTATGTCAAGGGAACAAACTTCACCAGCCACCAAACATTCCTCAAAGGAGGATGCGTATGTTGTTCTTGTTAAAGAAAGTAGCTCCACGCCAAAGAGATCCCAGTGCGAAACTTTAGTTGTTAGTCCATCTTCAGTCACTGGGATAAACAGCACTCCTCCAACAGCTAAAGAAGTTTCAACTGTTTCAAGACAACAACAAGTTTCATCATCTCAAGTTGAGTGCAGAAACATGTCTTCTCCTTTAAGCACTCGACATTTTACAACAGCACCCACGCCAGTTTCTTCTGTAAACAGGTCGCAGATGCTCACTGCACCCTTTCCCCAGCCTTCTTTCAGTGCTGGTGAGATGGTGTTGACTAACAGCTATGCTGATGGAAGAAAACCATCGTCAGATGCAACAGAAATGCACCTTGATTATAAATCTATGGCAACAGTTTTTCCAGACACTCCAAGTACTATCTCCAGAGTGCCATCAGGACCCAGTCAATTTACTGCACAACATGCTGTCTTTGTGGCTAATAGTTCTACGAGTAGTACGCCATCATGTAATACAAGTGATAAACCTTCTTCAAGTGTTCAAATGCAAGAGCCTCAAGAACCTTCACCCCCACTGCAAAAGAACATTCCACCAGGATACATAGCCCTCTCACACACTCCAACTGTTCCTCATTCTCCATGCACACCAAAGAACACAACAGCATGGCAGCCACCAACAGTGATGTCAGTAGGGTGTACTCATTCCATGCATCAGAGAACAGAGTTTCGCAGTTCCCCAGCCTCACGTGCCAACCTTTTAAGACCTGGTGAGTAATTAAAACATGTGTGCAGGTATGTACACACAGTAGGTCCTTAGTAAGACACATGGCTTTTATAACACAATGAAAGAAAACAAATAGACTTTTTAAAAAATTGCAAAGAGATAAATCAAATTTTTATTTAAAGAAAAACGAATGGACCTGGAAAATGCTTGACTTTTTGGTTTTGATTATTGTAATGTTTTTTTTCTTTTAACTGTTTAGAAGAAGTAAGTGGTAGACAAGAGAAAGTTTCAAGACCGGATGTTCTCAGTGCAGGTAATAAACAAGAAATTCAAAGATGTACTTTAACCTTTAAACTTCTCCCTAAATGATCTAGCAAACAGGTAATACTTTTAAAATACTCAAACTTATCAGGTAGAAATTGCAATCTTGATCCAACAGCAAATTCTTATAACTAATTTACAAGGAAATTTGTAGCAGCCAGAAGGGAAAATTAAGGATCTGGGCCCAGTTGTTTGAAGGACAACTAACAATAACCCATGTTTAAATTTTAATCTGGGTTTCTTTATTCCTTTGTTCAAAGTTTTATGCATAATTATTATAATTTTCTCTATTATTTTCAGAGCATCCAATCATCAAATTATAGACAAAATAGTCATGCAGAATTTTTCATTAATTAAAGCTTTCAGATCAGCATTTAAAATCAGATTTCACACTTTCCCTGGGTTAGTTAAACCCTGAGCTTCAAACAACCCAGCCCAGATCTTTAGAGTTAAAGGGTTACCATTAGTATGGACTAACTTCTGCATTTTTGATATATGCGAATCAAACCTCTGAATTATTTACCCTAAAGATCAGGCATGATGATGTAGACAAGACACGTTTGGACTGAGCAAAACTATTATTAATGACAAATCAAAGTAATTTTACTTTCCCCCTGCTTACGGTGGGATGGAGGAGAGAGAACAATTTTATTCTTCATGAATTTTTACTTGGAGCCATGGCACAGAGACTACTGGATGGGAGGAGATGCAAACATGATCCACAGAATCAGAAAGTGTGATCAAAGTCAATAATTAGCCCACAGTTACATATGCAGTGAAGAAAATGACAACAGCCTACAGCTTATATTTTTACATGTAGACACAAGAGTGAATACTCAACTATAGACTCTTTCTTTCTAAGATTTTTAAAAGTAGCTGATCCCTGTCATTGTGTTTCGAACAGCCATGTTACTCAGCACCTATGTCTCAGAGCACTCTAACCAACAGGATCAATCACAGTGGCAGTCCTGCCTCAATGCAATCATTTCAGATTATCAAGAGAAAAACCAAGATATCCATAGACAAGATCTTTCACCACTTGGTAAGAGTATCATTGTTTGGAACATGGCATGTTAGTACATACAGCTGTACAATTGTGTTCCCATATCCATTGAGTTTATTTTATTGCAGTTTCAGTTGGCAGTAGTCCACATGTCCTGATGATGCAACATGAATTAGAAGATATCTACAGGAAATGCAGAACACGTCCGCAGTTCTTTGCCCTGCGCATGGCTGAGAGGCTGTTTGGATTTGATATTCTGATGAAATCCACACCTAATGGGATTGGGGGAAAAGCAGCTCTAAACCCAACAATGTTGGATGCAATCAAAAGTAATTTTGATATTTAAAGTGAAATAATGTCTCAACAGGCAACTGCATAAGCACACAACTTACTAAAAGTACAGCCTGACAAGCTTGAAAAATCCTGTTTTCAATTAATTAAAGAGTAAATACCTTCATCGGACTCCTAGAAGAAGGCCTTGGGTCATTACTGGTGCTCAGTTTTGATAGACAGGGTGAAAGACAAATTAGTACAGGGGGTAAATCTGTAACAAAACTGTGGTGTTTCATTTGTGGGGGCAATACGAGATAATTTGGTGTAATCAACTCAAATTATCCCATAGGATGATAAACAGACAGACAGACATATACTAATTGACTGGCTGGCTGACTGATTGAAAGATTATCACAGCATTAAAACTAATTATTACAACTAGATGTAATTTTTCTAACATATTTTGGATCAGATGTTTAAAAAAGGAAGCTAAAATATGTATGTATTTTCTCCCTAAATTGTGAAAATGTTAACTTGGTTTTAATGTTAATCTTTTGTTTAGTTGAAGTCCTTCAGAGATTTGGTTCAGGAGTGTCTCCTGAACAACAGACAGAGATGTGGAAAGGCTGCATGACCAGTATTGCACAGCGGTGCAAGAGACTCAGAAATCCACGCAGGAACAGGTCACCAGCTGTCACAATGATCAGTAATGACAATGAAGGACCCCCTTCTATGGCAGTGGGCAAAGAATTGCGTTCAAACATGAGTGGAAATACCCAAACAGACTCATGTGATGAGGATGAGGAGTATGAAATGGAAAATTTGAATCATCCAAGTTCACATAACACTCCAACTATGGTCAGATTGTCATCTGACAGTGAACAAGAGAATTTGCATGGCAGTAATCACGATGCTTCATGTGCAACTGAGAACATTAAGATTCACAATGTCAAACAACTGGAAGACTCTGGAGAGCAACTGGAGCCAGCTGTTGATTCAATGGAAGAAGCAGGGGAAGAGGGAGCAGCTGTACATGTTCCTCCAGGTGTCGACCCGGATATAACAGTTGTTTACTTGCCATCCACTTTGGAAACGGCATTGCGGCCTAAAGAATCAGACAAACAACTGGGCATAGCTCTCTCGCGCTCTAATGAAGCTGACACTTTTATCAGATTAAAAGAAAGTGAAAGCCGTAATGCCCCTTCCCCACATATTCAGGAGCCCTATATGCATACAAGAGACAGTGTGTCACCTGGGCATAATTTACCTATTGTTTGCAAATACTCTGGAGACCGTCCACCTATAGAAGGAAATATTTACAAGCCTGGTGGGACATCTGCTGAAAATGTCTTAGTGTCCGGCATCAAAATGACTCCAGACTGTAAGTTTAATCTGTTAATTATATACCAATATCATACACTGAATGAACTATAACCACTTAAAATACTTACGGTAACAGTACTGCTCAGGAATTTGTAACCCAATTAATGTCACTGAATACAAGCATTTGAGAGTTATGCACATCCACTAGGGGAAACTTTAAACAATGTTTGCTCTTTGGCTTCAATTTAGCTGGCTTCCCCTTTTCCTAAGGATGTGACTTACTTTGCAGGTATGTCATATGGTGCTCTTATTTGTGAAGTTTTTTTTTCTTCATGGTAAAGACATTTTGTGCAAAGGCAATACATAGAGCTGCAAGTCAACCATCCACCTTTAATTGTGCTCATTAATCTTTAAGAGACCTGAAATTTAGACAGTATGAAAAGCATGGGAATGAGTGCAAATACTGGTTGTTGAAGGTTCTTTATTTTTTAGCTTTCATGGTTACTGTGTGGTTTTGGAGCGATGTTATTTTTTCTAAATGCAAAAATTGTAGGCACAAGTAAGCAAGCAGCCTCTGCAATCGGCCGATGAGTTATTCCATTAACAGCAAGTTGTGTTTCTTGAACAACTGTGGCTGGCCCATTCAGTGTGATTTTGATATGACTACAAAATAGCATTAATAAATCTTTTGTAGCAGGCCGTGCTACTGCTGAAGCTCTCACAAGTAAGCATACTTGTTCAAGGACATGCTCAGATGGCCAATCTGAAAGTACCAAAATACAGTATTTTCTATTTCCCAGTAGATCATACTACAAGTATTATCCCCCACAAAAATATCCCAACAGTTCTTCAGGGAGATTTGAAAAGTCAAGGTCATCATGCAGCGATTCTCCATGTAAAGGGTACGTGTCCTAATCTCTTGTTTTGATTGTTATTTCCTTTTTTCATTGTGCTCATCTGAATTTATGGTAGATATGCTATAGACCTTTAATTGGGTTGTTTTAGAAAAAGACACGATTTTCCTTTTGAGGGAGGATTGACTGATTGAGATTGTCTTTTATGCTTATTTCTTCTTTAGATGATACTTCCCAATTCAGGCAAATAAAAGTGAAGTATGTGTACCTGGAGGATTCTGAAAATGCACATCTTTTCATACAGCAAGACCAGGCAATGGAGACATTAGGTGAGGCAAATGTCAAGCCAGAAAAGCCCTGTGAGCACTTACAGCAACCATCTACGAAACCAACACTTCAGGAATTGCCACTAGATGATGATGCTACCCTCCTTATGCTGCACTCACGGTCTGCATCAGAGCAAAACTTTGCCGTGCAATTGGTGCGCCATTTCTTTGAGCCCCATGAACTTGATGGCCGGAATGTAAGAGGAGTTGGTGGAAAGCTTGCCTTAAATCCTGAAAAAATCAGTAAAATCAAAGGAATTGTATTTAGGTTTTACACATCCTCTCTTGCACAACAAGAACTGTTGTGGCGTGATTGTCGAAGAGCAATAGATGCATATCTTCGTAACAGAAGGCCCAGGACTTCTTTTGGGTCAAAGCTTTCTTCTTGAGCACTCTATTTTGTTTGATTATTGGCAAATAATTATAGTAGTAATGGACTGTTGTTAAAATTAAAGCTATATCATCTTTTTGGGTTCTTTTGTTGCCAATGCAATGCAGCAGAGAACCCAGGACCTCTGTTGGGTCAAAGCTTTCTTTGTAAGAGCTTTATTTAGTTTGTTTGTCTGTAAAAAATAGTTGACTGTCATTAAAATTTATGCTACATCATCATTTTGTGTGGTTCTTTTCTTGCCATGTCTCTGTAGCAAAACATTACATGAGGCTAACTTGTGGTTGAACCTCTTTGACTCTCAGTTTGTCTGTTGCTCTGACAGATGGCCAACGCTCGAAACATCAACTTTCTAAGCACTTTATAGTGCGCAAATTATTTACATTGTCAACTCTTAGTAGAACTTCAGTGTCATTTATGTATCTTTCTGTCTGTTTGGTAGATGGTTGCTTCTAATCATTACCAATTGCAGCAAGCATCAACTTTATTCTTAAAAGAAATTCTGGTATTCAACTGCTATACTGGTTTGTTGCTGGTGAAAAGAACAACTGAGTGAGTCATCAAGGGTACTTTGTTTACATGGCCTGCCATTGTTGACATACCTTTATAATAGTGCTTAAAATAATGTTGTTAGAAGAGCATTCCTTACACCATGATACTCTTATTTGAAAGTCAAGTCTCACTAAATATTTCCTTTTCCTGTTAATAAACCAACAGCGAAATGCCAAGCTAATTCCTTGTTCACAGAGTGTAACCACAATGTGATGCAACAAAAAATTATTTCTAGAAGAATTTTACCCTGACTGACCACCCAGTCTACGACACCACAAAGTCATCCATGTTACCCAACAATGTAACAAAGGAAACAAAAGCAATGAATGATAAAGACACCTTTGTGTACTTGAAAAGTGTTGATGTATTGACTGTGTATGTTTGGGTGGTATAAGTTGTGATACACAAACATCTGAGCAGTGCGGTTACTGAAATAAACTCGCATGCTTACAGTAATAATCATAATTATGCTATTGCTACTCAACAAAGCATTTCACATTTTTTATGTCCTTGCTATGGATTCTGTTTAGTAGAGTGTGTGGAATAAGGGGCAGCACATTGGCAAACTAGGCCAGATATAATTATAACAGATGAATGCATACCATTACATGCAATGTGCACAACAATACATAAAAAATAGGCCGTTTTACAGTGGTGTACGTAGTTGCGAAGCCTTTGATTTGGAGTGAAGCTGAAGATGTTATGATAGAGAACAATACTTAGGGGCCGACCATTTAACTTTTGAGGGGGGGGTGGGTGATTTGTGGTCATCAAGAAATATTTTTTCTAGCAATCTGTTATTTTTTTCTAATTTTTTGGTACATTTTTTCTGTTACATTTGGGCTGCATGCATTTTTTCTTCCAACAAGTGCTTGCAGGAAATTTGTTTTCAAAATCACCCACCCCCTTCAAAAGTTAAATGGTCAGCCCCTTAGTTACCATGGTAACAAACATATTTGCATTTGAAAAGCAGCAATGTTTGTAACATAACAAGGACACCCTCAGCCTTACTCCTTTTCAAAGGCTTAGAAACCAAGCACACAACTGTAAAATGGACTATTGTTGGTTGATAAAATCCTACCATGATCTGCATTGTAAAGCAATTGGTTTGTTCTACCACATAACTGAGGCTGCAATTGAAGAATGAGGTGTGTAGCGGAAATTTCAGGATTTAGCAAACTTTGACACTTGGTAGGAAGGATCAATATTTTGGGCTTAGGTCTGAAACCCATGCACATTTCGGGTGTGGTGATTTTTAACAAACATTGAATTTTATGGCAACTTGACTTCAAAGAATTTAGAATGGTGGGTGCTGTTGCTATGGTATTGAGTACTGTGATTATGAGGAAAGAGGACTATAATACTTTCAATGATGAGGATGATGATGGTTTTAATGATTGGAATATTGTCGATAATGATGGTGATGGTCGTCGTAGGGTGGCAGTTGCAGTTGCAGTATTGATCGTAATGGAACTCAAAGTCTTAACATTCAGAACATTTCTGAGTCTTCAATAATTAACTTGACTTTTGTTTGTTCGTTTATATGTTGAATAGGCTCCTATGTGCTGGTTGGAGGAAACCCAAATGTAGCTTTACCACGTCAGAAGTATCTTGATTCCCTCACAAGATCAGGGCAGCCAACACACTTTGCAGTCCGTCTGGCAGAGTTGACTTTTGGAGATGAGGTTCTGAGGGCATCAACAGTGACAGGAGCCAAGCCTGGCACTTTACAGTTAGACCCAGCAGTCATTGATGCCATTCAAAGTAGGTTTAATGATGTTCACTCAAATCCAATTTGCCACAGTGGTACAACATGCCACTGATTGAGCATTCTTGAACAGTTTCCAAATCCCTAGGAGAGATACCTGCATGGGGTCATCTCACACCTTGGTTGGTTGCTTAATTTTCTCTTTGTGTGTATTTTATGAATATTGTGGATGTCACTGGTGGTTCACCATATATAAGTCAGGAAAATTTATGTCACCCTCTCAACCAACTGTATCTAAATCCCATACCAGTTATTACTCCATCACTAATGTTTTGATGCCTCTAAGACCAGGTATGAGCTCTGTGTGAGCAAAGATCGTTTATTTTCTGACATGTTTTACTTTTTCACGCAATAGCTGAGGTGACAGAAAGGTTTTTAAAAGACCTAAACAAAGACCAGCAAGCAGTGGTTTGGCGGAAGTGTGACACAAGTATAGCCACACGGTGTAAAACTCTTCGGTACAACAGATCCAAGGCACAGATGGCACAAGGGGAACACCACTGGACAATTCATCCTGGCCATGTTACAGATAACAAACTTCAGTTGATTAAGGAATAGCAACTAATGGAAATATTTTCCCTTAAGAAGCTTCCAATTGGCAATTATTGATACAAGTCATGTGGTTTCTCAACATTCAAAGAAAATTTCATTCTTCTTACAGATGAATATGATCATTACGTGGTGATATTTATATCTAATCACACTCAATGTTTGTAACTTACCTTTCAATAAATTTCTTTTAAAACTAATTTCTTTTGTACGGAATTGTTGCTTGAAAGATCACTGTCTGTGAGATTATTTCACTTTTTGTTAGGTGGTATTCTGTAAGTATAGTTTAGGGAAGTGGAAAATTGTAAGTCTAGCTGGTCCGGCACACGCTTAAAGCACTCTGGTTAGTGGTAGTGAAATCTGAGTGTGTAGTCTTAAAGGGCAGTGTCTAAAACAGCAGATTGATGTGAACAATGGATGATTACTGGTTTGCATGGTAGGTTTCTTGGTAAGCCTGTATACCAGTTAAGATAAAAAAAAAATGGAAACAGACTGTGTCGAACAGCAGATGGAAAAGATATTTACTTTTATAAAATTAAGTCATTGAAGTTAATGATGCTTACTCTCAGAAGAAAATCATTTTGTATCACATTTGTTGCATAAGTCTTTAACAGTGGCTTTATTGAATGCTTTTTTTGTTTGTTTTTTGTTTGTTTTTTTGGAAGTCTTAAGTTGTGTGCAAGGCTTCACCATTGTTAAATCCACAATAAGGTTAGCTTTCAATAAGTTATTTATTAACCGGTTTTGAGTTAAGGAGGGGCCCTAAAGCTCACTTAATTTATCTGTTGCCTATTCAAAAGAAATATAATTTCAGGCGACTGCTGCAGAAGTTAAATTCCCTTTGTAAGTAGGGAAGTAAATCTTGTAATTACGACAAAGCCAACTTTCAAAGTCATTCTTTTTTCCTGTGTCGAAGCAGTAATAAGTATCATTTGAATTGTTATAGCCTACTATGCAAGTGCTCATAATTATTTTACAAACTGATAAGATGAAAGGATTCCTCAGAATGAGGGATTATATTTTAAACTTCAATGTTAAAGAAAGGTGCTTCTTTGTTTGTTTTTTTTCTTTCTTTTCACTGGAAAGGCGAGAATAGCTTTAGGTGGGTCCAACTTTTGTTTAATATGTTTAAATAGATTGAAAAAGGAACAACAATTTGTATTTTTGTAAACTTTAAGAAATTCAGTATAATCTCTTGTAACCAAAGTTGGAACTGGAAATATCTACTGTCTGAACACAATACATGTTACTTAAAGCACTTTGAATAAATGTAAGGGGCTTAAAAAAATTTGTTTTTGCTCACGCTAATACAATTAAAAGACTAGTTTAATTAATTTGTGAGGTAAGTAACAGCTGTCTGAAGTTCATGCTCTGAATACTGCTGAAGAATTTTGAGATGACAATTTTCTTATCTTGAGTTTACTTAACCAACCCAAAGTTATCATGCCCAGGACAGAATGAGGGGGGAGGGGAGGGCAGAGGGAAGCACAACACACTATTAATTTGACCTTTGACCCTTTAATTCCCAAGATCAGATTGTTAATTCTCCCCTCTAGCTGCTATGCATTTCCTTTGAAATTAGTTTGGAGAATTTGGTATTAGATCAAGATAAGAACTTCTACCTGATAAGTTTGAGTATTCTCATTATCTGTTTGTTGGGTAATGTATGGATATTATATGGACTGAAGTTATTATTAGTTAACTGGACATTTTCTGGAGGAGATTAAGGGACTCCTATCACCAAAAATGTTCTGAAGAAAATTGGGAAAAAAAAAAAAAAGAAAAACTTTACCTGATCACATTTTGATTTGATTAGAAGCCAATGATGTGAAGAACCATGAAGTACATGACCATACCTCACAATTTTGCCATTCCTAGACAGCAGCCCCCTTACAAAAGGAGCTTAAAAGGGGCTAAATATTTAATTATTATGATTATGATACTTACTTGTTGGAAGTACTTTATTATTACAAGTTGGTTGATAAACTGAAGGGGAGTGGCATCAAAGGGTTGAGGCAGGTTTTGATTAAGTGTCAGAAACCAAGCTCAAAGTGTACTTATGATGGTTGAATAAAGTAAACTTAGCAAGTATCTAATATGCATACCGCATTGATGGCCAAGCAAGTTGCAATCAGTTTTACTTTTGCCTCTGATTGGACAACATGAAGGTTTTTCTCAAGGTCATCAAATAGACCAGTTCCATATTCTTTTCAACACTCAATTAAAACCTACTGTATTTCTGTTTAATTCCTGAAGAATTAAAATGCTAGATATCCTTTTTTACTCGTTCTTTTTACTTCCATGCAGATTATGACAATTGCAGCCATGGAGCCAAACCAACCTGGAGATGGTGAGAAAACAATTTGTTACGTCCTATGTTTAATCTAGGGTAAAAGAAATTATTCTTGAAATTTCATAAGACATAAAATGGCATCCTGAGTAGGATGTGATAAATCTTAAGTATAGTTTTCTTTTAACCTTCCCGTCTGGATTTTTTGTCTCAGCCTTATTCTTTAACACTTCAATCTATCCTTTACCAATTATTGTTAAATGATAATTGGATAACTGTTTCTCTTTAGTCTTGGACATTGATATTTTTGTTCAGAGGCAGTTACAATACTGCAAGTCCCAAGTGTGCCTTTTGACCTTTGAGTGGAAATAACATTTTCATCATTTTAAACATGTTTGAATTTATACACAGGGGAAAGTTTATCACCAGACTACAGTCAGATATACACCTTGCTAAGTAGAGTGATGCGAGATCAGCCACCTCCTAACCTCACCCCTCTTGGTAAGTGATGTATTTGGATAAAAATAACTTCAGCCATGTCAGTAGTATATCTTGAACATCAGGAGATAGGAAAACCTCATCCATAGACCTAGAGCTGGTCAAGTTCTTTAATAAGGTGCTTTTTTCAAGCAGTTTTGTACTTTACCAAGGGCTATTAATGAGAAGATGCCAAGGACATAAATTTGTTGGGGTATTATTTGGTAATGGACTGACATGCCATCAAGGAGAACTAGCAGTAAATTAAGGACAGTAGCCCTTGTAATTTTGAAGAAGTGTTACACCTATTTCTAAGGGCCCAACACTCAGAACTTAAAACTTGCCCTAAGTTTTCATCTGTGGAAGCAGCCAGTGTTTTCCTATCTTGCACTTTGTCTTCAGTTTTTGAGCAAGGCCCACACTTCATTACTCTTCACTTAACATCTTTTCACAAAATTGACACCAATCTTTTCTTTGTACTAAGTGCTTTACATGTATATGTTTCAGCACACAATCCATAGGTATTTGTTCAACTTATTTACTGTAAAGTTCGAGATTTTTTGTATTTGTCTGCAAGACCTTAGAGCTTTCGATAACATTCTCATACATGTAATAAAAGTTCTCATTCACCACTGCACACAGGGTTCTGAACAAAGATTCATTTATTTTTACATCCTTAATGCAAAACCTGCATCAACATATTTAATTTGTGTCTTTTTCTTTCTTTCTCACTGCAGATGCTCAAGTTATCTTGGACTTGATGGCAGACCTTGATCGTGGTCTTGCAGGTCATGATATTAGTAGCCAAGTCAGCTTTATTACCAACAAGTACAAAGAAGTGATGCAGAGTCAAGATACTGCCTCATCTTCAGGGCAGACACAGGTCTCTTCAGGTCAAGCTGAACCCGCATGTAGCACCTCTGATCCAAAAGCCAGTAGTTCTGGCAAACCAAAGACACCACTGTCCTCTCTAAATCCCTTGAATATTCCAGTATCATTACTTAATCTGAAGAAATCCACTCCAGTTTCAACCTCACAGTCGTGATCAGTTGTAGTAAATATGTAAAAACTATGATTTTATTGAAATCTTCAGAAATTTTTGTCTGCTATACTGTAAGGTTCTCAAACAAGAATTTGTTCAAATATTTACTTTAAGTCCTCTCATTCTATTCTCAACAAGTAACATGGATTTTACACAGTTACATTTCATGTAACTGTGTTAAATCCATTTTCCTTTTCATTCAAATGAAGAAAATCTTGTCTCACTAGTTTGACAATTTCATACACTCTATCCCTTGGTTGAAAATAAGATCTGTGATCTTGATGTGGCCTTGTTTAAGCTAAGGAAGGATTACTTGAATAAAGATTTGATTTCTCAGCTTGGTCTAAGGCTTTCTGTAAGTTGGTATCGAATAGTTCGCACCTGAAAGGAAGACAGTGATATGTCAGCCTCTACGTTACCCTTATTGCAGCTATTTTTTTTATCAAATTTTGTAGACACTAAACTTTGAGGGTGTGCAATATTGAGATTGATGAACAGATTATTAAATCATCACCAGACTTGAAGTTACTGGGAGTAACACTAGATGATGAAATTAGTTTCAGTACTCATATAAGTGATATATGTAAAATGGCAAGTAGGAAAGTTGGTGCTCTAGTACGTCTCGGAAAAATGATTCCTGGAGAAGCCAAGTTACAATTGTACAAATCAGCAATTCTACCTAACTTAACATATTGTCACGTAGTGTGGCATTTTTGCAAAGCATCTGATGCAAGAAAATTAGAAAGGGTACAAGAATAGGCATTACGTGCTGTATATAATGATAGAAACGCTATGTATGAGGAACTCCTAGAGAAGGGAAGACTCTCTAGTCTTGAGAACAGACGGTTACAAGATATACTAATTTTAATGTACAAGGTTAAAAATTCACTAGTTCCAGAGCATGTATGTAATATGTTTTTTCAGCAAGATAAGCATTATAACTTACGAAGTGATTTTCCTGTTCCAAGATATAATACTGTTAAGTATGGCAAGTACAGTATCAGATATTTAGGCCCACACATATGGGGCAAGATAAGCCAGGAACTATGCAGTAAGACCAGTCTTCAGGCATTCAGGATAGGGGTGCGTGCTCTCAATGTGCTTGGCTTGCTGGATGGCACACGTGGCTGCTGTGCATGCTCATCTTAAAGAGGTGGTATGCATAGTGGCTTTTGCTGTGTGGCTGCCTGGTGTATTGGGAGTGTGCTCCCCTACCCTCTATTTAAATTCGTCTTATTTAAATTTTCTAGACTTTTAACTTTCTAAATTCTATATACACATTCTATTGCTGCTTATATGATTGTCTGTAACAATTTTATATATTGATACTTTTTATATATTATTAATGATATTTTGAGAATATATCCTTAATATTTTTACATAAACTCTATTTAATCTTATATTATACTCATGTTATTCATTTATAGTGCCCAAAATTAGCTTTTAGCTAAATACCTTGACACTTCAATGCAGTTTATGTATGTATGTACATGTATGTGGTTACTAAGAAAAGCATAATTTTTTCCTGATAAAGGGTGACCTTGGTCCTTATACCAAGTCATTGGTAAAATGCTGTAGTAACTTACAGACAATTGTACCTTATGGGCATGTCCAATGAGTAGAATGGGTTCTTCAGGGCAAAGTCTGAATACAACTCATAAATTTTCTTGAGGAAATTATCCATTCCAAGTTGTTTTGGGTCTGTCAATACAATGAACTTCAAGCCTGTAGGGAGTTTACAGAGAATGAGTGATAATCAAAACTTAATCAATTAAAAGATAAAAGAGGCAAAGCCAGCCTTCTTGCACCTCTCCAGGGAGTTAGGGAAAGAGGAGAGGGGGGTGGGGGGGGGGTTAGTGAGAAGAGAGATTATTGAAACAAGATTGAAGACTTCTTTAAAGCACAGGCCCCTTGACTACATCAATTCCTTCCTTGGTTTACCTGGGGCATGAAGACAGTTTTTAATACCACTGTTAAGACTTCATTAACTTATTTGTTGTCAGTTAGGTGATAAACTCACCTGTGTGTGTCTGGTAACAATGGAGTTTGAATGAGTCAGCTTCTAAGACTTCAATTCCAGAAGATCTCTGTTCTGGTGACAGCTTTGCAGAGATTGCATAGAGCCTGATTGTGATCAGAGTTAAAAGTCCTAAATATACTGTTTGTACACTAATTTTGTGAAAGAATAAATCCTTAAAAGTGAGAGATACTATACCACTAAATTAGCCTACTCCAGAATCCAAGCGCACTGATCACTTAATTAAGGTCTCAAAATAGCGAAAACGTAATCTATGACTCGTTCGTTTTCATGAAGTCAATTTATCAGACGTGTCATTAGGACTTGAGTAACTTACGGATGAAACATGCTTGCTAACATAATCCGCTCATTTGTTGTCAATTTTGGACGACCAAACTTCAAGGATATTGGGTAGTTCTCTTGGTTTTTTATGACTTCCATTGCTTCTCTTCCGTCGGGCAAGCGTTTCCCTGTTACTGGTTCACCGTTGATTCCTAGCAAGGCATGGCCAACTGTCAGAAAGGAAAATTTCATCAGCAGTGGTTAAAACAGTTAGAAAAAGCGAGACATGTTGAAGGAAAAAAATAATTACCTTTTATGCCATCTCTTTCACCAAATATTACGACCAACTTATCATCTTCGCGAAGCATAATATCTAAAGGATAGCTAAATGTCTTTTCCACTTCACTTTTTGGTGTAAAATGATCGTAATGATAAATAAGGCCTCCTGCACGATTTAAAATGTACACACTGAAGATCGCCATCTTGGATAACGAGTGAAGGCCTGGCGAGAGTCTAGGCATCAAGATGGCGTCAGACTTCGTCCAGACTGTGAAACCTTTCTCGTGGCATTGTGCTTTTGCTCAGTAATTTACCGAACGTTGAGGTGCTGCCTTTGATAAAATATGTGGAAGCCAGAGGAGTCTGCTTCCAGTAGCGACGAAAGCTTTGAGGAAGAAATTTCAACGAGGAATTTTGGAAACTTTGAAGCAGCCACTGGTGCATGTAAACTCAAGTCGGTGTTTGAAGATATTTTTGCCGATATTCAAGCCAGTATTCCTACCTTAGAATTGGAAAATTCCTCGGAGGTAAATTAGTAGTTAATTCAATGTATGAAATAGCTGTCTACCTCGGAAAAACAGTTATAAAAAAAATCTGGGTCTTTTTACATAGTACAAAAAATATAAGCTTAAATTCTTGTTCGTTACTTAGGCAACATAAACAAGCTTACCAGCCGTGAAACAGTAGGTTTAGAATCGTACTTTTTTTCGGTTAGGACATCGAAATTGATAATTATTTCAAAGAGTCTCAAGATTTTCTTTGTTGGCAGTGAGTTGAGCGCGCAATTATGCGCTTACTGCAAATCAATTCGCAAAGTAATTACCTCATGAGACAAAGGCGACCCAGATTTCTCGCCTTTGCCTCGTTGTGGGAGGAATTCGAAAATATGATACGAGGGAATGTTCTTCTGCGGGAGGAACTCCCTTGCGAATAGCTTTGATAGTTAATTGTTTTTCTTTCTAAAGGTTTATTTGACAGATTGTTGCTTTTAATTGCAGATATGCTGCCAGTAATTGGCAATTATATAATGAGCCTAAGATTTCTGTCATGCATAGAAACCGGAGGGAATAATCTAACTGAATTTGTATAAATCAACAAATAATTCAAACACTGGCAGTAAGACAGGCTACTTACTTAACTCGCTGTCTATCATGGAATAAAAAGCAAGAAGCGTAGTTAATCATATCGCAGCATATACGATAGAACACTAATAAATTTATAAAATTTTTATGCTTAATGAAATCTATTTATTATATCACTTAGGTAGTGCGTAGGTTATTACGGCTTGACACTAATGGTAGCCCACTAGCCACAGACTAGTAGAAATTCAGTTTTGGCTAGTGGTTGATGATTTTCACTAGCCATTTTGGCTAATAAAAAAAACTGTCTTAACATCTGAGATGCCACTAACCACTTGGCTAGTAAGTTGAAAAGTCAGTGTCAAGCCCTGGGTTATGATTGGCCAATTTTGTAGGTCATATTTCATTGTGTGGCCTGTTGAATTTGAAAGATTGTCGACCCCCCCCCTCACTCTATTTAAACCTAGAAATATAATAAATATCGTACTAGCCATGTTTTCTCAGACTGTACTGTAAGTTATGGTACTTAATATTTTTCTACCAAAAAACTTAGTGCGTAATTTACAGAAGGGTCCTTGAACACAGTCAGTAAAAGGTATCTACCACATGTCTAGAACCACCTTGCCAGTATTATCTAACCTCATTTCTAAGTTCTTTTTTTATTCAAGGAAAGTGATAATGATGACGAACCCCTTTCATACACAAGAGAAGCACGGCCTTTGTCATCAAATATTTTATCCAAAACAAATTACCCCAGCAGTAAGGTTGATCATTCTGCTGACACAGCAAGTCCATCAGACAGTGAACTGTTCCTTGTCAGACCTGATGGGCAAATGTCAAACACCTCTTTACCCTCAGACGGTGACCAGGTTGGTTGTTTGATAATTAACTTAATGATTTATAACCAGACAAACATTTTAGAAATCATAATTGATAATTTTGGCTACTTCCCCGCTTAAAACTCTGGAAGAGATTATATTGCAAGAGTTGATATAAACAAATATAAGATGATGGACTTTTAGCTTTATTTTTCTGGTCAGATTTCTCTTTCATTCTCTTCCCTTTTTGCTAACATGGTAAGGTAAGGTAAAGTCTGTTTACGAGCCAAGTGGCCCATCAGGCTGGTGCTTAACTCTGGTTTCTTTAGCATGAAGTGACTAGGAGTATTTCTACTCCCCCCTGGATGGGATGCCAGTCCATCACAGGGTTACTGGCCCAGCATTAAATTTGCCAGTACCCATTCAAACACCTGGGTGAGAGTAAAGTTTCTTACCTAAGAACACAACGCAATGTCCCCGGCCTGGGCTTGAACACAGACCACTCGATCCGGAGTTGAGTGCACCAACCATGAGGCCACTGCTCTTCCTGAGGCTGCTGCATCTCCTTATGCTAACATGAGGCTGACAGATCTTGCGGGGTCGCAATTAAATATGTGGTAGTTATTTGTTGTTGGCCCGTTTCAACTCATTTAACCTTTTCTGTCTTTTTAGGATAGTATTGAATTTCTTAGCAGTTCTCCTGCACTTCTTCCTTCTACTCTTCCAAACAAGTTTTTCTCATCAAGCTCTACACAAACAACAACAGACACTGATAGTGAAAATCCAAAGCAGCAGAGACCAATGCTGTCAACATCATCCAGAAGCACAGCACCTGATCCTATTGATCTGAGCCATGAAGAAAACCAGGAGACAGTTGAACTAAGTTTTGATCTTCTGGAGCACTTGAATCTCGGTGATTACCTTGAGTGCGCCAATGAAGTGACTGTGCCTCCACTGTTTCCATCCACTCTCAGTGACAGTGACTACAGCGATGATGCTGACAACAGCACAGTCCTCATGGAAGGGTTGATTAAACTGAGTGAAAAGCAGCGGAATGATGCTGCACCAACACCTTTAAGTCCTGCTGATCACCATTCAAAAGGTCCATCAGAGAGAGAGAATAATATGGTGCATAGTGTTGGAGTAATGAGTAGTCCACCTGTCACCTCTAAAGGAGTCACTGCTTCTTTAGATCCTTCTGTTTCACATAGATCTAACAACACAGTGTTCTTGGATTTAAGAAGACAAGAGAAACAAGCTGCCCCTCAGGTCAGTTTGTCTTATATAAAGTAAATTTGAAGCACCTTCCTCCCATTGCACAGACCTGTGACAGCAAACTAAGATTTTACTTTTGAGGTAGTGAATGTTGTACAATGCTGATGACACTAATTCTTTGGATCAGTGCCAAAGATCTCAGCTAGTTTCATGAGAAAATTTAACCTATTGTAATTTCAACCAACTGCTTTTATTACAAATTTTAAAGATCAGTTGGGCATGAAACCAGTACAGAGCTGGAGCTCTGCACTACTTGCACTATGACTTCCAGGAATATGGGAAGCACATTTGAATTGGTTGGGAAGATTGATAATATTTGTTAACAGTGTTCAAGAAAGACTTTTTATTAATAAATTAAATATGGTTAGATTAGTGCAAGGTTATAGGGCAATTACATGTGTAAATCATGTGTGCAGGTGTTAGTCTTTCTATCTTTCATTTTGATTTATAATCTTAGCTTTTTGTTCTCTAGATAAGAAAAAAATATCAACCACAAGTAAAATGATAAAATTTATGAATCAAGGTTGAACTTGAAATAAACAATTTTTAATGTAAGAGAAAATTAGAGTTTCCAGATGGGATTTGAACCCACCACCCTGCGTGGTCTAGTTGGATGCTCTAACCACTGAGCTACAGGAGACTCTATGGTGAGCAAGGGTCAATTAGTGGGTATTGACTGGAACCGCATCACGCGGCTACAACATCACGTAGCCACGTGATGCGGTTCCAGTCAATACCCACTAATTGACCCTTGCTCACCATAGAGTCTCCTGTAGCTCAGTAGTTAGAGCATCCAACTAGATCACGGAGGGTCGTGGGTTCAAATCCAATCTGGAAACAAGGTTGAACTTATGTTAGAATAAATCATTTTCAGAGAAATCAAGAATTACCTCCATCAATATGCAGAATACTTGGAATCAGCAACAACAGGCAGTCAGAGTAAGTGGATTCCCAAAAGTTCAATCATTGAGTTTTTTGAATAAACATATCAGTATTCTAAATACCTAATCAGTCTGTTCTGTGATGGTACTTAATTTTAGAAGCCTCTTTTTGAAGCGAAAAAGAAAACTTGAGAGTAAATGTCAGTAAAAATCAAAGAAATCGCGGACACAGCTCAAAATTCATTCTCGCCCATACTTCGTCAATTGGTAGGCTTAAGACCCATACATAGGACAGCAATGTTCGTTTGTTAAAATTCTCACTTGTAAATAGGAGAAATCTACTTGAAACGGTTTACCACATTTTCTTGAAAAAAACCTTTGAAATTGTCCTAATTCGTGGCGCTGTCGAGTCAATTCATCGCAAATTTTAAATTATTTTCACACTAATCCTATTCGTCTGATGCTTCTGCAATTAATTGGCAGCACCACCAATTCGTAACCTTTTCTTAAAAATATAATATGATTTTTTTTTCAAGTGCACCTACAGCTCCTCTGAAATAGATTCGTTGGTGCTTCAAACAAACGTGCCAAAAATACTCGCGGTACGCAATAAAATCGACCAGGAAATCTCCTGAGCCATGTTCAAGGATAGCTTCAACTTTCTACCGTTTTATTTCCCTGGGATCTTTTGTATCTGTACAAAAAGACATTCCTGAAGTGAGACAATTTTCAATATCCGCCATTTTGAAGTAACACTTCACATGTTTGCAGTTAAAAGTTTCCAATGTAAAGCTCCCCTAAATTGTTAAGCAAAGCAAAATCAATGGAAAAAGCTAAATATGCACCAGAGAAAAGTGTAGAGGACACGTAACAGAAATGCGTCGAGAAACGTTTACAAAATCTGCTGTGACTCACCTCTTGACCTCGTCTTTACGTGTTTGGCTCGTCTTGACATGTTAGTTTGTTTCGTGCTAAATTCTGCTTTCTCCTTTTCACAAGCGACCTTTGCTAAGTAAGTCTGCTTCATGTTGGCGACGTTTCTTATCAGAACCTTTTCTGGTGTTGCGCTGGAAGACATAAAATCACCTGATACATTGCAACAATCGAGGACCGTTCGACGCGGTTCGATCACTTGTCTGGTCTGTCACGCCGTGAATAACAGGCATCATCGAAGCCGTGACTGCACTCTTTTTCATGTTGGAAGTAATTTGTAAAAAGACCCACATATTAATAGCTTGCAAAGAATGAGCCCAAATTTCTTTTTAAACATAGTGACATTCTAAAGTTGAATGTAATAGTCCCAAAGATTTGCTTTTTGTGCGACTTGCTCAGACATGCCATTAGAGACAGCGCGTCACCCAAGCCCAAAATAGACTGGACACTAGAAATAACTCAGAGGGAGTTGGTACCTAGTCACGATAAGTGCGAATTGCGGGAAATTGAAATTCCTGAATAAATCCTGACTTTTTCACTGTTGATCTAATGGAAATTAATCCTTCTAATGCAATTCGCAGAAGACAAATGGCCCACACTTAAACGTCAATTTCACCGTGTCTTTTCCATTTTTCGAACATTCTTGGATGCGTAGCTCCTGAAGTGACATAACTGAGGTCACGTTATGTAATAAACTGGAAATAAATTGTAGCTTTTGTAGGGAGAATTAATTGCTTGATACCTTTAACGTTTGAATAATATTCAATTGCTTGACTGATATGCTTAAACTAATAACGTTTGAATAGTTTATATAAACCAGCCAAATTCGTTTTGATTCTATATAAAAAAAAAAGCAAATCGAATAAAAAAGAAAAATTGGCTGCCATGCATCGTATTTTGCACGGATGACGATCTTCCGTATTCTCGCCCGTGTTCTCATCCGTGTCCCAACTTCCCACGACACGATCCGAACACGGGTGAAAGTGTACACGGCCGGGTACTCTGTCCAAACCGTTCAACCATCCCGCGTAGGGGTAATGGCGCCTTTGGGGCACAAAATTCTATCAAAACAAACAGAAATATGAATAAATAGACTCTTCTCATCAAGCGTCATGGCTTGCACTGGTTTCCAGCACTTTCCAGTACCTAAAGTTTGAACACTATTTGAATAAGTTTCAGTACTGCTATCCTGTCTATCACTATGGAGGGTGGCAATACTCAAAGAGACGAGTAAACATGAAGGACGTTAAACGAAGCCACGCTTTTAATTACACTCCCGAGGATTCAAGGAAAGCCCAAAAACTATAGCCTACGTCGCAGACAGTCTAAACGGCCGATATAGGCTATACCGGAGATTATGTGACACGTCCGGCTGCAACGCAGGCTAAAAAACTACTTCATATAACATATCCTTTATCAGTTGATACTAAGGTAGATTATGGTATAAACGATATTCAATCCCTGGAGGCCGTTTTCTGACGGTAAAAACACCCAAGTATAAGATAAATTAGATTCTTTCGGAGACTTTTTCATCAACAAAATTAAAGCTACCCTTTATCTGAAAATAAGGAAGAGATATTATGGAAGTATTATTTCGCAGATCGCATATTCTTGTTGCAAGATACGAGGGGGAGTCCCTGACAAGATTGATTTTCCGATCTTGGATCAGGTCCACATTCTCCCGACCATCAATGAAAACGTACAATCCATGCTTGAGAAAGGTTTATTGTTTTAATGAAGCAATGTTATGAGACAATTTTCTGAAATGTTCTCAGAGAAAATTGAAATTGACACCTCCAGAATTCCCACTTCACGGTGTCACGCAAGCAGACAAGGAGAACTGCCACTGGAGTAGGATACGTACGATTACGTTCAGATAAACATTGCAGACATAACTAAATGAATAAAACTTGGACATATCGTGCTTTTTAAAATATTAATAAGGTTTAAATCAGCGGACTTCCTCATGCCAGTGATACTGATCTTTGGACAAGCGAGCCGACAGTCTGCTGAAAGATACATTAAGTAGCAGGTTGTTTCACACGCTAGATAGTTTAAATTAGTTTATTATTTGATCAGTGTTTGTCATGGAAAAGAGTTTTCGTAGATTGATCATTCTGAAAGGTAAAACTAATAACTGAAATGCCCAGAAAGTATATTTGCCACCGAAACCGAAGGTATCAACAAAACGTAACTTTTTTGGTACAGTAGTCACCAAATCATCTTGTGTAAACAAACTGACAACAAGCAAAATTATGCCAGAGTCTTCCACCAATTTAATTAATTTTCCAGATAAGAAACAGATACCAAGTCTTACCTTAAGTTAGCTTATCATGTTTTAACTTCAAAAGTACCTTTCGACCTGCGATCAAATGTTTCTTGATAGTCAAGTTAGTTGAAACTTCAATGTGGCGACTGCGGCAAATCTCGAAAATAAGCAAACTTCAAACAAGGGTTACTGCAAAACCAAAAATTATCCCAAAAAATTGAAAGTATATCTGAGAACGTCTATTCTCAAACTGTATCTGCAATATAGTTATTGGGTTCTTCTTCGCGTACCAACAAGCGTTTTTGGCAGTTGTTTTAGGGTACCATAGAGCTATTGAAAAACACCCCCAGGGTGTCATCCAGAAAAAATTTCAAAAAATATTTATAACGAAAACATATCTGCTTTTCATGTTATCAATGAATTGCTCAAGGCCCTAACTATAATGTTATTGCAAAGGAAAATTCACAGATAATTTTCGACTTACGCTGGCAAGCCGTGAATATGACAGAATTTCGATATTTCGAATATCGAAATTTGGCTCCATCCACACTCGACCGTTTTTATTAAATTACTCTAAAAAAAAAGGATTAGAAAAAACTAACCCTGTTTTGGTTACATGGGTACAAGAGTCTATCAAAATAGAAAGTATAAGCGAAATCGATTTTTTGGCTGTGTCCGCGATTTTGATAGTCAAATCTGATTTTTACTGACAGTGCCTCAAAAATAACTGCATCCTCTGGCAACAGCATTTGTTTCTGAAATGAGCACTAATTCATTCCTCTCCTTGATTTGAACCCCTTGCCTTCCCTAGATGTCATTCATAATTCTCTCTTCCCGCTTCTTTATGTTTCCCTTTAAGTTAGTAAGACAAGTTAGGCAGATAAGTTATGCTACTCACTTTACCTGTTTTCTGAAAACGGAAAGAGAAGTTAAAAGTTAAAGGAAGAGGTGAAAGATAACTTTTTTCCTGAAGACACAAAGCCTACGCCTTTCTATCTAGCGTGCGAGCCATTAGACCAGGGAATTTTCCACAACACTCTGGAACCGTAGTGTGACATTAACCTCTGTATTTTAAGGTCATCTAGCAGCTCAGATGAAGATGACGGCCATCAGTCATGGCAAAATCAGAGACGAAAAGCCAAAGAGGCTTCCTTGTCGTGTTCAAGACAAAACAATGGTAGTGTTGGTCAGAAGAGACCACCAGAAAGGATAAAAAGTGCTCTGGACGAAATAAAACCTGAACAGAGGGACGGAGATGACATGTCAAACAAAAAAGTTACAGAAGGCGGACCAATTTCACAGCAAATGAATTGTATCGTGAAGGAAAGTGGGCAGGCAGTAATAGGGCCTGGCACATTAACCATTATGCATGACGGACAGCTAGATTTGAGTCACAAAGCTAAAGTCAGCACAAATCATAGAACACACACATTCAAGCAAACATTATTAGCTGCTTCTCGTGTTGATACTGCTAGACTTGTACCAGATGTGATGCAAGGTGACTCCACCGTGGACAACAAAAATTTAACAATGACAGAGACAAGAAAAGCCCAGAACCTAACATCGCCTGAGAAGACAGATAAAACAATCATCACTGGGTTTTCTTCTCCTGTAAAGAGAGATCCTTTGAACAAAGTCGAAAATGAGGTCAATAAGAATATAACTTCTGCCGCGAGTGTGGAGACGAAGAAGTCCAGCGTGAAGCATAAGCAAGTGTTGACAGGAGAGGAGAGAGCTAAAAGACAAAGACTTCACAAGAGTTTACAAAATTTGAAGCCACTGCTATCTTCCCACAAGCATCACCCTGTCGCTCCTTGCACGCCAGTACTCTTTCACGAGGTAACTTGTCATCTTGAAAGAGTCACACAACCATGTTTTCAGTCATGCTGTAATGAGACGTTATATTGTTTACCGGGCGGGAGGTCTTGAGTACGGCCTGAGGCCGACGGCTACACGGTGATGCATTGGAAAGTTCTGAATTTTTTTTAGTATTAAAAGTCACTCTTTCCTTTCAGGAAGCCTCTTATATGAACCATTTGCAGAGTCTACCAAACCTTGATACAGACACATTATATCTGCTGCTGACTGCCAAGCTCTCAAGCTGTGGTGAGCTGAGTGTTATTCACCAGGGAGCAAGAGGAGCTGTCACCCCAGATACACACTGCTTCTCGCACCTAATAGCTTGGCTTTGCTGTTTGGTTAGTCCCGCTATGAACACTACAGACTATGCCGAGATCTGCAGAGCACCCTTTTATGTTGTTAGCTTGCAGCAAAGTTGGCACAATGGGAAGCTGAAGATTGACGTCGGTCTTATTAGTCGTAGTGACAATGGCGACTTTTCACGTACGCAGCACGCAAACGGGAAACTGAAAATGAAAACGAACAATTCCTTTAGGCAGGCAGTGAGTAAGTTCCTCTCCACAAACACGCTTCAAAGTGTTTACAATCGCCTGTCAGAACACGTGCCATACCCGCCTCACAACCTTGCAGAGCTTCAAATAAGCAAGAAGAATTTATCAACGCTATTGACTGTGAATCCCGACCCTGAGGCCATGTGGCGTGTGTTTGGGGCCAAACCTGGGTTCTTTTGGCAGACAATGGAGACAGAAGATGCACCTGTGGACGACAAAACTGGTGGAAGGCTGTTTCAAGGGCCAGAAATACACAATGCACTGATGCTGATGCAGTCTGCCGTGTTCCGCCAGCCCTTTTGCTTGCTCGATGTGCTGATTCGCGCTCACTGTAATGCTCTGGATATTGCTGGAATCAGGCTGGTGTATTCACACAACGAATTACATGAGGAGAAACCAGGTAGCTGATACTGCTTCTTTTGGTGCAGTTTGATTGCGTTACTGATGTTCCACCTTTTCCACACATTTTATTATCCTATGTGCCTTTTTTTATTATTGGTTTAAATTTTTTTCCACAGCCTTTGGATTTCACCTCCCAAATAACTCATCACAGGATGGAATTTGTACTGGTCCTCAAGGCCCTGTTATGGTTCTCGCGTTACGTGGGCCCCAGGCCATCTCAAAGTGGCAGGACGAGGTGGGGCCTGTAGATGCCAAATTAGCTCAACGAACAGACCCCAACTCACTACGAGCCGTGTACAATGGTGGGGCTAAGGAAGACCATCTATTTTGGTGCCCACGAAGCGCACAGGGTGTTGTTACAGAACTATCCCGTTGGTTTGGGGGCCGTGTTCCGGATAGTGGCGTGATCAACACTGGCTGTAGAGAACCTTCTGTGACATGCGATGAAAACCCGGAAGATTCCTTTCTCGGCAGAGGTCGAAATAACAAAAGCCCTTTATTGACAAGCTCACTTCACGGAAACTTCAGACCACCGCCTTATTTCCTTACGGCCTCCACCGACACCAGCATATTCCTGTTCGTCTCACCAGCGCTGCCTGTAAATTACATCGGGAACGTCTTAAGCGCTTGCCTTGAGACTGGTTTCTGTACTCAAGGCGTTAAACGCATTCACTTGAATACAATGCGTCTTAGCGGTCTTGGACTCTCGCCGGAGCAGATCTCCTTGTTCTGTCGCAAGCGCGATAATCAGTCTTTAGCACCATTAGCTTCCACAGTGCTCTTACTCAGAAGGGAAAACGCATTACACCATTCGCTGTCCGTGACTGAATCAATCGTTAACTCTGTATCGCATTCCGACTTGTCTCGGTCGTGTTTTCTAGCCGTCCCTTACAGCGATTCTATGCTTAAACAGCTCGGCGGAAATTTTTCTCTCACCCCTGATCCTGCAGCTTACCCTGTGGAGCTGCTGAGGCACGCTTTTCATTCCAATCCCGAATTGGAGCAAGTCTGTGTCGTGACCTTATTAAAAGAGAAAGCTACCGTCTCAGCAGGGACGCTTCTGAGCGAGCTTCTGCGGGATGAAGAACCGCAGGAAGGGTCAAATCCTCGTGGTGGTTTTGAACTCTTAGGGCTGAAGCTCCTTACTTCGTTGTCATTGCATCACGCCAAGGAGTTTACGCCGTGTAAAATCGGAGACACGATGTGGAAGAAAAGTCTCAAGACTCTAACATCCGGTCCTGCTTTAGTTGTAGCTCTCAGAAGTGTTAATGCATTTGTGCGGCTAAGGCGCTTTCTAGATTCTTATTCAGATTCTTCAAAGTCAAAACTTGCCAACAACAGCGTCCCCCTGGATATTCTTATGTCATGCACACCCGAACTTGCCTGTAGACAGCTATCAGTGATCTTCTTCGACAGAGAGCTCTTTTCAGATCAGTCCGCACGGCAAAACCTTTACCTACTTCCCCCTCCCCGGCGGATTATCAACGGTGTCTGCAGCGGAAGTAGCGAGTCGTTAGACGAGGTGGATGCGCGGGCTTCTTCTTCCGATAGGAAGGCAAGGAGCAGACGGGTGAGTCTCGGAAAGTCTCCTGGGACGGCGTCTCTTAGCAGTGTGGAGACTTTGGGGTACGCCGACACGTCTGTCCTTCAGAGTTTGCTAGAGAAGCCCCGTGTCATACCGACAGTGTGTGTGCTAAAGCCTCGCACTGCAAGCAAACACCTCGGTAAGGTGTTAAAGAGATTGGGTCAAGAAGGGTTCTCTGTGATTGCCTTGAAAATGACGTGTCTTTCGTCCAAAGACGTTTCTACGCTCATGCCTGAGAAGGTAAGGTCCACGAGATTATCATTCCGTCGTTTATTTCCCTAACATTTGGAAGAAGAAATGAAGTACATTTCCATTTGTGTCATACAGGACATATTTTTCCTTGAAGTATTTTGGATCTCTGTAAAGATTAGAAGAACAGACGGACATCCAGATTTTGCCGCTTGTGTTTTCCGCAAAAGTTCTAAATTTATCTGTTGCTGGCAGCACCAACGTGGCCATAGTCCGCCTTACTTAAATGTCTTCAGATTAGTCATAGTCTGTTTTGTTCTCGCCTATGGTCTAACGAACGTGAAGGGAAAGCAAACGAGTGATTGACGACTCCGACTAGGGACTTTGAAAAAACTTGGGCACGACACACCCCGTCCCATCAATTTGTCTAGTGTCGATCTCTTCGCGCCTAAAGCTCTTGCTCCAAGAAAAAGACCGACTCTTTGTATTCTTACTCTTATTTTCCTGTTTGTACTGAGAACGAACTTACCTTATCACGTTTAAAATCTATCGCATGATTGCAGGAAAAACTAGAAAGTCACATAAGTCACATGACATCCGGTCCGTCGGTGGTGCTATGTCTCCATCGTGAGAACGCTGTCGGGCGCCTTCTGGACGTACTCGGTCCCAGTGATGCTCGAGCTGCAAAGAAACTGTCTCAGTTCTATTTGAGGGGTTCGTTTGGCGAGGATTCGATTCAAAATGGCTTTTACGGTAAGGTATTAAAATGCTATGTAAGTCCTTGGTATATTTTGATCATCAATTAACTGCCTTCAAGAACTCACGATCTCATGGTCTCTCGCTGTACTTTACTATGCTGTGCTATGCTGTGTTTTTGTGTGCTTTACTTTGCTGTGCTGTGTTTGTTCTTCTCTTTGAGGGAAAACGTGGTTTGATTTCTCTCCCTAGCTGTAAAAGAGTGATATTCAGGGTTTGAATAGGCATGACATGGCGCAAATCGTGGGTACGGAAGAGCATAGTTCGCCAGAGGCGACTTCGGAGATATCTGCAAGGCATTAACCTTATGTTTGAACGTTTGTTGTTTTTGTGGGTGAAGGAACTGGCCTCGCTAATTTATTAATTATTTGGATATATCAACAAAGTTGAAGTGGTAAATTGGCCACCGTAACGATTACAAAAGCTGACGTTTCGAGCGTTAGCTCCGACGAAGGGCTAACGCTCGAAACGTCAGCTTTTGTAATCGTTACGGTGGCCAATTTACCACTTCAACTTTATTGATATATCCAAATTATTTCGTTACTCCCACCGACCCAGCCCCAAATAATTTCTTTCGAAACTATCAGCCTTTATTAATTTATTAATCATGTTTGGTAGGATCTGAAACGTACGAAAAGGCGATCAGAGATATCAAGGTTCTGTTTCCTGAAGGTGTTTGCTGTCCTCCGTGTATTGACCTTAGGGCTGAGGAGGTATGTTATCTTAAACTAAGTGGCGGCGAGTAAAGTAAACCATGTCCCTGAGGGATTAAAAAACTCTGCTATACCAACTATGCGAGTAGAAACAGAAGTAGTACAGATCACTCCTTCGATTCTTATCCTTTCAAAAAGTCTAAATTTTACGAAGGTTACTTTTTTTAATGATTGAAGTTTTTCATTCCTGCGATTGTCTTAAACTTAACATGAACAGAGCTGATTGAAACAATTCCTAGAATACTAAGTTAAACCATTTTTTTTAACTTTTCAAGACGAATTTATCGCAATCACGTCACTCTACGACAGACCTTTCCATTCTTGTTCTGAAAAATTTCGTTGTGACTCAGAACTTACCAGCAATCAAAGCATAAATCGTACCCACTCTTCTGACGGGTTTTTAAAAGGGAATGGATTCTTTCGGAGGAAATGCGTATTCGTCAGAAAATAAACCGTTTTGGTAGGTGTGTTGTGACTGATAGAGAGTACCGTTACTATGTAAATGAAATGGGTGAAGTTAGAAATTATTTTAACAATACTTTATTTCAGAACAACATGCAAATACTTAAATATTAAGAAAAAGGAAACCCAGAGGTTGGCCCTATATCAAGGGTCTCCTATTTATGTAAAAAATCTTACAGAACTAGTTACTAAAAACATAAAAAAGTCAAATAAGAAACAGCTAAATATCAATTATAAAATGACGATCAATAAATATTCATATGTTTCTTCAATTTTGATTTAAACTCGCGAACGTTAGGGCTGTCACAAAAAGTAAATAAATTAATAGGAAGATTATTCCAGGGTTTGATAATTCTGACAAAGAAAGAATTTTTGTAACAGTTCAGTTTTGCGAGTTTGATTTGTAGTTTATATGGGTGGCTCGATCTCGATTTAGTGTTTTTACAAAGTTCAAAATAGTCGCTGAAATTCAATCCATTTAGATTGAATACAGTTTTATAACATTCCACTAAGGAAAGGAAATCTCTCCTTTGTACTAAAGAGTTCCATTTAAGAATTTTACACCTCTCCGTATACGCCATCTCTTGTCTTCTTTATTATAGGTTCTGAAGATGATTATGATCATCCCAGTGATGAACACTACCAAAGTAGTAGTGAAAATAAAGCCTGAAAAAAAAAAAAAAAAAAAAATCAGGCTTCTGCAAGAGTGAAACCCATGACCTTTGCGATACCGGTGCAGTGCTCTACTGCAAGTTCTGTATCCTTTAAAGGATAATAGGACCCTTCATCTTTCTACAAGTTTCTTTGTCTCTAGCTTTACCAAATGCCTGACTCTCTTACTCTTCCCTTCAGGTGTTTAGTAAAGGGTTTTAGTCTGTAAACCAGACTAACTCTCAGTTTAAATCTCGAGTCCAGCTCGCAAACCATGCACGCACCACGGTCTTACTACCACTGGGCCTTTTCTTTTAGATTCCATGTTTAACTCTGGATGAAGTTTTTAGCGTGACAGCCAACAGATCGCTCGTGAAACTCTCCACAGAAGAGCAGAGCAGAGTGGAAACCAGCCCGGGTATGACCCTCCTGCCGAGTTCTTTATTGGAGATCAATTGCTTGCTGTTACTGCCACAGCTGTTGGTCAGCGGTGCTCAGACCGGGCGGCGAGGTAACATCAGTTACGCCGAGATCATAGAGGCCTTGCTGACTGCAGGGTTTCACTTCATCGGGCTTCGAATGGTGCTGTTAGGAGTGGCTGAAGCGGCGCATTGTGCAAAGCTGTACAGCGGTTGCCTGCCCGAGAATTGGAAACCTCATCACTTGGTAGGTATTTTCGTCATTCTTGACAATTCTTATCTTTTTGATGTCAGCTATTTTGAATTTTCTCCGTGTCCTCAATTAGGATCATGTGCAATTGACGTTTCATGCTCGCCATGATACTTTGTTTTTGTCCTCAGGCAAATTAACCTTTAACCTTACTAGCCATCTGTTTTTCTTTGCAATTTTATTTGCTGTAGATCCCTTGTTGTTCAGGATTTCTTTCTGTTAGGAATTCAAACTCTATGACTATCTTAGCGAAAAATTGGACTGGACTGGTGGCTCTGATCCACAGCTGTATTAAATTTCACGTTTCAGAAATTATGGTTTCGATCTCTCAAGATCTCTCTGAGACCCTGAATTTTTTTTAATTTGTGTTGGCAAACCCTTATTTGGATATTTCACCCCTCTCCATTCAACCTCTGATATTGAGGCGGACAGAACTGTAATATTTGGGACGGTTGGAATAAATAGAGTTCCGAAATCCAAGCAGTCTTTCAAATGTAGACTTGAAGACTGATAGTTTGTTGTTCGGTCTACAATTTTGAAGTGGCAGGAAGTTTTTGCATACCGAATTGAGTGCAGGAAAAAGGGCTACCAATGACTCCCTTGAAAATGTTGTGCCCTTGCTTGCTTAGAGGAAGAAAAATAGAAGTGTTCTTTTAAGTTACATGTGTGAACCTTGTGCTTCCGTGATTAAGAAATACCAAAAACTTATGTTTTCCAGGCTGTTCAACTCTCCAAGTCACCGTGTCTTGTCATGGCTGTCTTGCGTGACGGTGCCGTCACCTGTTATGACACGTTGTGTGAAAGGTAGGCATGTCGGTGAAAAAGAAAATTGACACAAAGTAGGCGAGTTCAAGACATTTTTTTTATTGAAACTACCATATCGTGTGGTGTCAACTGTTTTGGGCATTTCCCACTCCTAATAGAAGTGCACTTGTAAAGAAAATGGCGTTCGCGGTATTCATTAGCGAAGAAAATCTGCCAAGGCACTTATTAGGAAAAAGTGTTGGGGTAAAGTTTCTCTTTACCTCAGGAAAGTGCTCTTGTGAAGTCGTCTATGGTGTCAAATTTCGTTTCGGCTGAGTTTTTGCTTCACAATGCTTCTTACGTGTCAATTCTGGACGCGGGTGGTTGTGAAGGATTTTTCGTGAGAACGTGCCAGGTTAAACTGGTTAAACTGGTTAAAGAAAACTCGCGAGTAAAACAAGCTCAAAATAACTTTTCTGCTATCTGTGATCACCCCAGACTGTAGATGGCGAAAGATGACAGTAATTTGTCAGGATGTATTTGTAGTTATGAAGGTCAAGCTCTGTGTAAATAAATTGCCTTTGAGGACGCTTGTAGACAAAACGGAAAAATTTGTCGCATTTCATTTTCCAAGCCAAGAAACATTGAAAAAAAGAAAAAAACTATTCAGCGCGACGTCCGAAAAATATTTGGTATTACAAAAAAATAGATTTTCTTCAACATGTGGTTGGAATTTTTTTTCTTCTCTAATCAAATACTTCACCTTGGTGTTCCTCAGCCTGCCTAAGTGTCACTATAGTGTTGTGATGTACTTTACGCACACAGAGACAAATACGAAGATCATAACGTCATTATGATCATTTTCCCCGTCTTTCGTACTTCAGTATAGTGGAACTAAGATGCAGATATGACAACAATCTTACGCTTTCATTTCTAACAGTCTTCTGTTGTCGATCCTAGCTCTCCGAAACTGAAATCATCATTCGTAAATTCAGGAAAGTTCATGTTGGCGGGGAAGACGTTGAAAGAGGTTTGTTTTTTAGAGAATTTCGGGAATGTACCACAATTTGCCAACTCCCTCCAAATCGCTTTACTCTTGTACATCGAAAGGATTTACGGCACGAACTAGTTGAATGAACTCTGCTTTAGATATACTTTGCGTCTTGGGCCTCACTGTAATTTCTGGGAGAACTGCTTCTGTCCAGTTAATTTGAAAGAAATTTGCGTTCCAAATATAGATGTTTCGTGTTCATCTCTGACATATTTAAGGCCAGGAAATTTTAAACTTCTATATCTCTAGACTGCATGGAAAAATTCTCCCAAAGATACGACACGAAACACAGAAAATGCCCTATACTTTTTAAATGACCGTTAAAAATTCAAAGTTCTTGCATCAATATGTGTAAATTTAAAAATTGTGCATTGGGGATGGCGTGACAAATGATACTGTATTTACCCAACTATATTGTCGTTGGAGTCTATAAAAAGCGTAATGAGTATCTAAGTATACTTTGATTAGTTTTTTCAAGTACCTGTAAGAGCGGTGTTTCCTAGTATAAGAGGGTCCTTTTCCTGCGTCCGGATATGCTGTATCATAAGCTTGCGTCACCCGCCTTAATATTGAAATTACAATTTCGGGCTTCCTTTCTCCTTTTGCCATGAAGGGCTATCTTGTAATATTTCGTTTTAACTTAACGACGTAGGAAAATACCTTCAACTGAAAGTAACACCGAATATTCGCTTAGTAGGATGAAAAACCCCAATTAGAGGCCGACATAAACCAGAAAGTTCGAGTCGAATCTTAATTCTGATTTACTAACACTTCTCCGTTGTCGAAGATTAGAACCAGTGGGCGTTTATGTTAGGAAGGGAATCAGTCTTGGTTGTCGAAGACCTCTCTTGGGTTATATTTCTCGTAAATCGCACAATTATCTCTTAGATAAAGACTATGATTCCTTTTTTTTTTTAACAGGCTAAGTGCTTGGTGGAATGTTTCTTTGATCATCTGGTTCCTAACAGAAAAGCCCGGATAGAGTTGAGCGCTTCCTAATCCCCCGCTTTTCATCGACCGGGTCAAAGGGAATTGTACAGATTAGTACGAGCGGATTACTGCGTAGGGAAAATTGATGCTAACTCAGACAATTTTAGAAGAACAGATGAAGACAAAGCCTAAAACTGTTTCCCGGATATCTAAACTTATACCTTGTGTTTCTTTTGAAATTAAGCCTATCTGGAAACAGTGGAAGTCTGGTGTTGATCATATTAGAACAACTCTTCGTTCATAAGAGGTTTGTGAAAGACTCTTCGGTTAAGAGTTCATGATGTTAACCCTGGAATTGAACTAATTTTGGCCTTTCTGTTTTTCTCTCAAAATATTTTTTTATGGCTACGTGTTGTAAGGTAGGGCGTTAGTTTCCTCGCCAAAGTAAACAACCGCTCGCCTACGGACTTCCCGTACTGAGAGAAATGGAAAGAAGTTGTTGATGTTTCCTTCACATTACGTGACGTGAATGTGTGTTCCCTCCGCTGTTCGCTCCTAATATCCCGAATTTCATTTTACACTAGCTCTGTCTGTCTTCAAACATCTTGTTTTGTTTTGTTTTTTTTTTTTGTCGCTTATAGTGTACACAATTCTTATATGACGGGGCAGATTTTGGCTCTTATCGATCTTAGTCTGGTTTCTCCAACATTCAAATGCCGGCCGTGCGCATTTGACTTTTACTTGTAGACTACTGAGAAAAACTTCCTGTTCTTTCTCGAGTGGATGATTTCCTTTTTAGCACAATGACGAAAATCCATGTTGAAGAATTAAAGAGCTGCACGGTGTTCACGACCTTCGATTTGAATTATTTACAATCACGCGTGTTCTCAAAGAGAAGATTTATTCATCATTGTGCTTGTGCTTGTGCCACAAACCTGTGCCAAAGTTTGCTTGGATTAGATTTAACCTTTGTAAGAAGTTAAATTATTGAATTAATGCTTTTTGTTGCCTTTTGCAGCATTAGGTTGAATACCTTTTTGTACTTGACTAACTGTATATTTGACGTAATTGTAAAAACACTGAAATAAAAACCCAAAACGGATAAATTAATGACGTCTTTGCTTTGTAGTCTCAACTATTTTCAGGGAAAATTACTGTTACAAGCGCAACGGATTCTAAATATTGTTCTTAAAGTACGTAATTGTCTAGAAATTAAAATATTGCTTGTCGTCGTTTATATTTAAAAAAGACATTCCTTTGTTCTGTTTCATTAGAAACAGAAGATTAAAAGTCTCGTGTATCTACAAAACCACGATGAACAACAACTGACATTTTCTAGAACGTGATTATTATCAGTGACATTTCAGCAACAAGGGAATATGAAACAATAAAGCAAGGAAGTCACTCCAATCGCTAAAATTACTTTCATTTTTGATCCGAATTTAGATTGCTAAGAATTTAGACCTGATTTTGCGATAGATACGGGGTGTTGGCAATATCATGTTGAGACTAATTTATCTAAAGGTCATTCCAAAGATAGCTATAAACTCTATCTCCAAAATATAGAGAACAACTATTGCGGTTAAACAAACTAGGAAGTCCGGATCCAGAGGTAAACAACTTTGGCAAGCTGTAAAAGTTCTTCAAGACTCTGTAACCGAGAGGCGACATAGTAGCGGGCTGATCGTTCGTAAAGACTGCTCCTTGGCGTTTACAAAAACCACAGGTACTTGAATAACAATATACGCTGTCAATACCATCAAACAACTTTTTAAGGCAGTTTTACCGCTTCGTGATATCTTTTGGCTGTGAAATGTCGTTTTGCGTGGGCCGCGCGATCGGTCGCGCGAGGAGTATCCGAAACGATCAGCTTACGGCAAAGATGGTGTTTATTACATTACCCATATTCGAGAAGGAACGCGTGGAAATACTTGCATCCGACACTCCCTCGATAGCCTTGAGAGTTACGATTGTACTCTAATTGCTGTTTCCTTTTGTTGGTGTTTTTAAAACTCTAGGAAGTGAGAGAGAGTTCATCATTCTGCACGCGGCAAACCGGTAAAATAACGCTGTACTCAAAACTGTACAGGAGTTTACAACGATCCATTTATCCGATCAGACGCTTGAAATTCGATTTCAATACGGGTAAGTTAGGCCGATATTTTTATGTAATAGAGCTAGAGGGTAAGTGATGGGGTATATCTTCACTTTCGTAGTAAGATTTGTTTGGTGACGATAACATCGTTCGGATCGCCGGGGGATTTTTTCACCACCCTGAAGATGAAGGTCCAGGCTAAGATCGTAGGCTTTGACAACCTCAGCTGTTGATAGAAAGACATGTCAACAGGAAATTTTTTAGTAAATTTTTCACAATTTTTTTCACAAAATTCTTTTCGAAGAGAGTGAAACTCACGGCTAAGGAACTTCAAGTGTTTACATCGCTTGATTGATACCACACTTAAGTAATAAAATTTTGAGGGATTTCCAACCAAGAGGCGATTATTTTTCCGTTTGATAGGTAATCAGGCAACAGAATCTAACATCCTGGAACTGTTTCACTTTTGAAAGGAAACACGCAGCTGTTCAGACGGATACGTCATCACAAAAACAAAGAAGGCGTATATTTAGAAGTCTGCTGTATCCGGCTGGAATTAGGCACGGTCACAGAGGATCAGCTTTCACAGAATATTTTTTATCAATTTGCGTAGGATTGATCATTCGCATTAGTGAAAGTAGATAGGCGAGTAAGCTTGACATGAACTTGTTGAAGAGCATCTGGAAGAGCAGTAGCAAGATAAATATTTGAAATAAACGTTAGATTAGGAAAATTATCGCACTCTCAGAACTATCGGCCGTCATGATTGGTTCTCTGATGGAATCACGTGACCAGCGACATCGTCGAACACGGAAATTGTCGAGCGACTGGCTCAAAATGGCTGCTCCTCCTAGTCGTGGAACACGGTTTTTCAGTCGTTTGCAAGATGCTCTCACTCATGCTGTGACTCCGCGATTGCAGATCGACAGGAAGACTATCGAGAAGACGTGGAAACTGATGGACAAAGTGGTGAAACATTGTCAAAATCAACGGCTGTCGCTGAAGAACAGCCCCCCTTACATCTTAGATATTCTGCCCGATACTTACCAACATTTGAAGTTAATTATCTCGAAATACGAAGAAAGGATGCACATTTTGAACGACTGTGAGTATTTTAGGATTTATATAGAAAACCTTATCAAGCAATCGAAGCTGGCCATCAAGCTTTTCAAGGATGGGAAAGAAAAAATGTACGACGAAAACTCTACGTATCGCCGCAGCTTGACCAAGCTGAGTTTAGTTTTCAGTCACATGCTAGCCGAGGTGAAGGCAATATTTCCTCAAGGAACTTATATAGGAGACGGCTTCAGGATCACAAAATACGATGCAGCTGAATTCTGGAGAAAGAACTTTGGGATCGGGTAAGTCTGATGTCAAGTTAATTTTCTTAGGCGTCATGTATTGTTTTGATAACCGAAAGCGATCAATGGTCGCTACATACACAGCCATGACAGCTCGTTTTCTTAATCGTGTTCCTCGATTTTCTTAAATCTTTCTATTCGCGGGTGGTCAGGCCACTATTTGCTTCGTTTCTAGAATGTGTCGTCAAATTTCATTACATATCAAATGGGAAAAACAGCTTCTTGACGTTTATTAATTAATTGCGTGCTTCCTTCGAATTTTAATTTAAAGACCTTGAGTTATATCACCTTCTTTAATTCCTCACACTAAAATCACGAAAAGACCGCGTTTTCCTTTCGATGGCGTCCTTAGGGCTTTCCAAAAATGTTATGTAAGAAACCCAAATATCTTTGACTTTTTCCCTTCCCAAGAAATGTAGACTTTAAATGTCCGTTTGAAACTCTGTTTACAAATAGACTGCAAACCATCATAGTTTCCGTTGTATATTCATGGCGTAACACGAAAAAATCCGAAACTATTTGTGGTGTTAGATGCATTTCAGACGAGCTGAAACTTGTTAAGAACGTATGATCTTTTTTATTTTACTTGAGAAATATCCACTTTATTTGTTTGGTTATGGTCCACTGTCATCTCAGACCTTGGAATATTATTTTAAAGGTTGGTTTGCTGTACTCACCTAATACATGTATTCTCCTTTGTGCGTTTTTTTTAGCGCTCGTACTCAAATTTTCTTTTGGCTCATATCGAAAACAAATAACTGAACATTTAAGTAGAGAAGCAAATAAAATTGGAAGTGGTGTATGTATTCAATTTCCACCTTTTGTTGAAAAAAAAAAAAAAAAGACGATCAGGGAAAAGTTACTGTGCAAAAAACCTGGACCGAATGTTTATGAATTTCAATACGTTTTGAGGGGCATAATACATGTGGTATGGCTCAGAATTTGATAATTGATTTATTGGTTTGGTATAATTTTGAAAGCTAATTACCCTGATATAGCCTACATGATTCTGTGCTTCAAAAGAAATGCTTCCCCTTTGAAGTAGTAAGAGAAACCACAATTTTCTTTTTATAGAAAATTAGAACACGTTTGTAACAATCAGGTTTTGAAAAGTGACTATCAGACCTTAAAAGCTCTTTGGAGGTCAATGAATTCATAGATAAACAGCATATGATTTCAGAGAAATAGAGCTTTCAAGTCGTGAGTAGATCTCATGTATATAGACTTTTACAAAAGCTGATAATACTAAGTGTGTGTTGTGGGAGTCTATGTTCGGTCCTGACTTGGGAAATAGAAACATGTTTTTGATCGCAGGGTTTGTCACAGCTAGTTTTTCTGAACTATTGTGTTATCTTTCAAGCATTACTAGACATGCATTCCTCTAGCAAGAATTTAAATAGCTCGTGGAACCAGGATATATATAATGGGACAATGAAGTATTAATGAGCAGTTATGATCAACTAAACATATAGTTTTATCCTAGTTTTTTTCATCCCCCACAAGCTGTTCTCACATTGTCTTTGGTTTAGTCTTCATACATAATTCAGTAGAATTCATGTTCATTTAAGTGTGAGTAAGCATCATAAACAATATTACAAAATCAAGCTTAAGTGGTTATCTATAAGGGTCTGTATTCTATGCAAGGTATGTGCCCAGATTTTCATCAGTAGTAGATGTGGGTGACTCTAAGCAGTCAACAAAGGGATGCCTTGCTAAAAAGAATACTCCTTTATTCTCCTTACACGTGCCTTTTGATTCATCATGGAATTCATGTTTTTCTTTGAAATGACAGCTCTTTGCTGATTCTACTTACCAGACCAGTGCATATCTTTTAACTCTAAAATTTACTAAATGTATTCAACTTGAATACTTGCCGTTATTTTACTAGGAATATCAAAACAGACTGCAAAATGTTACTCAACACCGACTAAGTTTGCAAGGCTTTTCAGATATTCCCTTAAGAGAAGCAATTGTTTTCTTGTAGAAAACATTATGGAATATTGTTGAGAGTAACTCAGCAACTATAATCCATAACTTTGAGAGCAAACCCAGTATTTTAATGAATGTTTTATCAAAGCTAATGGATTTTATTATTCTAAATTTTCTTCAGGAAAACAACAGTGTCATGGAAGCAATTTCGTCAAACTCTCCAAACAGTGCACCACATCAGCTCAGGTTTGGAAGCAATGGCATTAAAGTCCACAATAGATCTAACATGTAATGACCATATCTCCATATTTGAATATGATGTCTTCACAAGGTTGTTTCAGCCCTGGTCGCATCTGCTTCAGAACTGGAATCTCCTTGCTGTGACACACCCTGGTTATTGTGCTTTTATGACATATGATGAAGTGAAGGCAAGATTGTGTAAACACATGGATAAACCTGGAAGGTTTGTTTTATTGCAATTAAGTGTAAATATTGCTTCAAACAAGTTTGTCGAAACTTTAAATTTTGCTGCTAAAAGCATCAGTGATGCAAAAATGACAGAACACAAGCTCTTGAACCAATAGGTATTATAATATTTCAACTCATACATGATTGGTTTAATTGCATCATTTGACTGAAAACTAGACCATTCTAGACCCGATGAAAGGTTTCAGTTTAAAGGTAATTCATAAAGGGAGAGTTTTGTTACAGAAAAAAGAAATAACTTTGCATGTTGATGAGGTTGGACAAGAGAACACTCAAGGGTCTTCATTGTATAGGGAAGGGATTATATCTGTGAACAAATATCTAACAACATATTTTTTAGATGAAAAAGAGAACAACTGAAAATTTTTAATAGATAAATGGTGGATAAGGAGTGGATAAAGAATTAATTTATAACCATTTTGCAACTAAAAAAATTAAATTACTCAATGATACATACACACTTTATTTAGAGAGGGTGGCACTGAATAGTTGGAGTAACTAATAAACTTGTGGCCCTCTATTCGCACCCATCCCACCCCAGGGGAGGACATCCACAACACAGTAATCTCTTGCATGGAAAATATTAACGTCTCCTACCGCTAACCATGTAGGAGACTGGGCCTAAGCTTTATTCGTCCTTATCTGAGAAGACTAGAATACCTATCCATTTCTTGATATTATAGAAAGGTAGCAAATTCTCCTCAGTTATTTTAAGACCGTGAGTATTGGTCTGGCTGGGGCTCGAACCCTCAACCGCCCACACATCACAATCTGGCCCTTTAACCAACTGAGCTAACCGGGGGCAGTTAATGATCACAAAAGATAATCTTAAAAATTAAAATTAAAGGACTCCCAGTATTTTTAAACAAGTCTGTAGAAAAATTGTTTGTAAATATGTTGTTTGTAATTAAAATACGTCAAAGAAATATAAAAGTTTTTGGTGAAATGGCACATGCCTTGAGGGCATTGAAGGTTATATAAACTGTTAGGAAATCTGTTTGTCTTAAAGACGGGCCTTAACTTCCATGTGTTGCAGCTTAGGTTCAAAGTACAAGTGCTATGAGCAAAAAGGAGGTCGTGAAGCTTGTTCTGTTTGCTCTGAATAATTTTCTTAAATCTCTTTGCAACAATTTTCCAATTTTAGTTGTTGATGGAGCAAGGAATCCATAATAATAATAATAATAATAATAATAATAATAATAACATATTTATGCAGGATAACCAATTCAGTCATAAAAACTGCCATCAACATGGGTCCTGTGGAAAAAAAAAAACAGTGTAAAAGTCACAGAAGCCACATACACAATCTAAGAACATATATATATAAAAAGAGATAAGAAGACTAGAACTAGAAGACTAGAACTAGATTCATAGATAATCATTAAATATATTGGCCCCTGTATAAAAAATTGTGACCTCTCACGGGAAAATGTTCCGAACGGTTAGCCGTTTTTAAACGGATAGCCGTTCACCAGCCGTTCATCGGCCGTTCGACTGGATTGGCATGCCGTTTGAACGACTCAAGCTATCTGTTCTTGAATATTCATCATCCATTCGAACCGTTTGAGCTATCCATTTAAGACACTTAATCATCCGTTTGAACGCCTCTAGCTATCCGTTCTTGAATATTCATAATCCGTTCGAAC